ATGTCTAGAGCTTGTATTAGTCTCATCAGGATGATACAACCTAGGCATTTTGCTTTATGCGGACAGAAGCATGATTCTGCACCATTATTGCGAAGTCTTAAGCCACACCCCTTTCGTATTTGGACAAGGTAACTTTTCTTCTAATCAATAGGTACCTCTCAAACTTCCTGTAACACTGGTGTAAGGATATCTGCTGAAATCTTCGGATTCATCTCCAGTGCTTAAATAGAAGTCGGGTTTGATCCTGCTAGCTTTAAATAATCTCATGACGTTCAAGACTTCTGCTTCCATTAGAGGATTGGTGTTAACTGGCACTAATGTGCCTGTTGGTGGTATTTCTGGATGAGTTGTTCGGGGTGGTCGGTTTAAGAGTCCTTTGAGGTGATTAGTTCATTGTTTTCTTTGTTTCTCCTCTGTGACAACTAACTAACTTCCATTGAGTTCATCTGTGCTTATCTCTTCCCCGATTACCACCTGGTTATCTGATGTGATATTATCTATTACTTTCGTTCATTTCTGCTTCCGTATTCACCGTGCTGTGCAATTGTATTTTGTCTCTCCTCACACTACTCCGCTTTATTCGGGGCATTTTGGACTGAACCCAACTTTCCCTTCTATTGACCATATTTAGATTAGCTTATCTTCTGCTTAACTATTCTTCCCTATCATATAAGCTTTCAGGTGTCCATGGGGAACTATTCCTTGTCTTACTCCTTCCTGAAACGACTAAATAGGTTTCCCCGGTGATCCAACATAATGCTTCCGACTGGGCTCTGTTGGCGACAATGAAGGTGTCCTTTGTAATTTTGTCATTCAGTTTCTGAGCGTTGAACTTAAATTATGGCCTATCCCTAGTTGTTTTGAATGCTTTCGACTTGACTGAAGGTTTCTTGAACTAAGTAATGGTCTGAGTTCACATCTCCTTTTTTTGACTTTATCTCCACAGAACTGCATCTCCACCTTCTTAAGACTGCGATAAAGTCTGTCTTATTTTTGGTGTATCCATCTGGTGAAACTTGTTTCAATTTATCTATGTTCGTGCGTTCCCATACTATACTTCTAATCACGAAATCATTGGGGGTGCAGAAGTGTGAGGAGACCTCTCCGTCCTCACTCATTTAGTCAAAAGCCCACACGAATAGGGAGTTTTCTTGTTGTGTAGTCTGTTCCAAGTTTGGCACTCGTATAACCGTTATGATTTTGATGTTATTTGGGGTCTTATTCATCACTGTTTGCAGTTGTCTGTAGAATACTTCTTTCTTCTCTTGGTTTGCGTTGTTTGTAGCAGCGTATCATTGAATAGTTCTATTTTCCCTTCCTTTTGATCTGAATCCTGCTGTCATTATCCCGGAGGAGATTAGTTCCTACTGCATTCGAGCTTTGGATGGTCTTGGTGACATTATGATAGCTACTCTTTCGGTATGTTCGTGGTTATTGTCTAGATGACTGCAGTAGGCTATTTACTTTCCAGTTAACAATTTGGAGAATCCACTTTCATTCCATCGGCTCCCACAAATTCCTAGCCTTTCTATACCATATCTCTTTGGCAGTCTGAGCAGCCAACCTGACCGACGATGAATATTGTACGAACATTCCATGTCCCCACCATTATTCTCGTTTTCATCGAAAGAAGGTGTGTCGCTTGGCTGACATCCCAAAGTTTCTCACCAGCCCGTGTCATTCCATCTCTGTGATTCTAGCGGAGAATGTCTGTTTTTTGTTACATTTTTCCTACATGCTGAAGTTTTTGTAGCTGTTGGATTGATTTCTCAGGGTAAGGTTTCTAGTCCCACATCCAATCATCCCTCTTTTTATTGGATTGGGGCCGACCAGTAAACTAAGTGAGATTATGATTCTGTTTTAGTTTATTTTATTCCTGTAGCATACGGTGGTACTGCGGAATGTACTGTGTAACACTATGAAGGCAATCCACTGTTGAATCAGACAACAAAAGATAATATCAAAGTGTCTGTTACAAGACGGATGTCTCTAAAAAGACCGGATGGACGTAGTGTTTCATACTAGGTGTTTTAAAGTGAACCCACCGATTAGTTTGGTATAAGTATGTAGTAGACGACGTCACTTGATTAAAACTGTGGCAAAAACTAAGACATGTTTCCAACTGTTTGACTGGAATACGACTACGTCATATATAACCTAACAGTCATTTCGTGAGAAATACAGAGGAATTTTTCGATTTGGAATTCTTTCAAAATCATCACAGTGTATGCGAATGAACTGATTACAAACATCATTACCGATTTAAACTCAGGGATTTTGTTTTCCGCGTAGCATGGTGTCTTTACCAGTTGATGACGCATTTCAGTGGAGAAAAAGGTAGATAAAAAATTTCAAAAACATCGGTGTAGTAGTCGTGCACGTTTTGTGGCGAGGATCGTTTATCAGCTGAAGATATGGTGTTATTTGATTGATGGTATCTAGCTATAGAGTCTAACGTGTGCGTTTCATTCCACTGGGGACTCGTCATCTGATGTACCTGAGTCCCTAGTTAGTGACGATGTTCCCATTGAGATTCTAGTGCTTCACCCACCATCTCAAACACCGAAGCATTATCCATTGAACTGCGAGGGTCACGGAAGCAACCTCATGTGTAACGGGTATCAGTTGTTAGAATTGTTTTGGCTAGTTTGCATTTCCCGTTGATTCATCATGTTGGACTGAAGTGCTTGATCTCTGTTGGCGTGTTGACTCCTAGTAAAGACATTTCGACGATGTCTGAAGAACAACATGGTTTTATTTTTAGTTGGTGCTGGCTAACAGTGGGACCCAGGATTCCCATTTCGTCTTCCTTAGGACTTCTCGGCGGATAACACTTTGGCGTTTGAAAGAAAGGTTTTAGGGTCCAAGTGTCAGTGGGGACATTGTCACTAACTGGGGACTCAGATACATCCAGCTGGAACTAAATGCGAATCCTGAATGCCATCGTTAGTCACCATCAGTGAAAAATAACGTGTTAATCTCCATCCATTGTCGAAGCTTTCTACAAATCGACGGAGATACCTATTATTAGGAGATGAAAAAAGGAAGCCTTTTATTAGTGCATTATGGAAGACTCAGTGAAGTATGTGAAGTTCTGTAGGTCCTCTGATGTTGGCTAGTTCTACTTGCTGATCACTTAGATGCCTTACGAAATGTATGTAGAGGATTTTGCTTGTTAACTGTACTTGAAAGCTATTACGCCAAACACGATCCAATCGAATGTCACTTCGGTGAGTTAGTTAGTCAAATTGAGATATGATGTATAAATGAGAATTGAAACTTAAACTAAGTGACAGTACTGCTTAATGTCCAGTTAGCAACTCCAGTACTCAGAAATATAATTGTGCAGTATCATACAGCCCTGAAACATGTTTATATGTAAGTATCTATAACTAAGTTGAATCGTCAAAAGAGATCTTGATTCTTATTACCTGCTAGTGTAGTCGTAGATTCTTTAACCTACAATATGTGTACTCCACAGTTGTAAGAAACAGTAACGCATTTAGAAAATTAGGTAATAAGTTAACTGGTACTTAATGGAGTTGCCATAGCCTTCCTCTATTGTAGATAACATGATACATTTCTGCTGTTACAACATTTCTTCGAGGAGGATTCTCTTCGAGGTGTTTAGCTCCTCTTCCAAATGTGCTGGGGCTGGAAATGCTGCGGATTCTGTGGCTTAGTGAACGGATCAAGTTTCGTTTTTTACACTAATTAGTGTACAAGATGAATGTTCGATTAGTTTCCGCATAGATTATTAAGTGATTCATGTGAATTTGTTAGCATCAATGAAATTACATTCAAGTGTTGGTTTCTAGGGATTTGATTGGTTTCATCATGAGCTGACATTAGTTAGAGAACCATTGGAAAACCTGGGAGTACTGGACAGCTGTTTCCCCCGTCCTAGTTTGGGACTCTTCATCAGTACGCACCCACCGCCAGGATTCGAATCCAGTACCATCTGGTTACAAAGCGTGCTAGCTAGCTTGTATACCATTAAGCCACTGGGACCCAATCAAATGGCCCATGAATTCTAACTTCTGTCAGTTGACGACATAGCGCGACCCTAGCCAATGTCTTCGGCGAGTATTTGTCTTCACGCGCGACCTGCTGCACCCTACTGGTCACGACTTCTCACTAGGACCCCAGGTAACTACCTACCTGAATAGGACAAGTCGCCAGTGAGCATCTCATTGATATTCAAGTGTTGGTTTGTAGGGATTTGATTGGTTACAGGATTTCATCATGAGCTGAGCTGAGATGTTATTTGCTTAATCCTCATTTTTCATTATCAAAAATGTACCATCTATGTACCGACAGTGGGATCCTAGCTCATTATTTACATCTTTCAAAGGCCTACTCTAGTTTTACAAGGAAAATATCGGCTAGAATGGGTCCTAATGGTGACCCCATTGCCACACCATCAGTTTGTCTGTATAGTTCCTTGTTAAATAAAAAGTGAACATTTATTGTGCATTTCCAAAGAAGATATAAGAATGCAGTTATTGATGTTTCGTTTTATGAGTTTTCATTTACAAAGTTCACAGTTTTCAAAAGTGGTATATTGGTGAATAAGGAAGATACGTTTAATGATATCATGAATTTATTGTCAACATTTAAATCTTTTATCCTTTCAACAAACCCACAGATGTCTTCTATGCTGTTTCAGTAATTCAGTATGTAGAGACTATAAGAGTTTGACCAACTATTTGGCTATGGGATGGTATGGTGGTGATTCGTATGGGTTGAAGAATGAGTTCTAAGAAGGCATCGCATCAGATTGTTAAGTCAAACTGTAGTACTGTGATGAAAATACACATAGACTTAGCTATATATATATATATATATATATATATATATTGGATATCATTTAGTGTGAATTATACCATCAATAAAAGACTTCATGAAGTCTGCTTACCGTTTATTTTTTTCAGTCAGTGTAAAAGATGAATAAACAGGATAGTCAACGTTCGAAACATCATGGTCAATATCATGGTGGAATGAATAAATCTATTTGGCCGAAGAGGAGGAATGATCATAACACGAGTGAAGAACAAGATAAAGCAAAGTCTGCTGTATACCGATCACCCTATCCAGACTTAGTTTGGCATCAGGGATGTGATCAAGCGACAGATAATATGGATTTTATTGCAACCTGGTCAACAGATCATCAAATAAACATTATGTCAAGACTGAAATCTTTAATTATTTGGCCAGATAACACAGATGCACTTGGTCCTCGTATTGAAGTGATGAATAATCAGGCTAAATTTTGTCTAGCACATCTTGTTCAAGAAGTTTTCAACTACAAGGTTTGTTAAAGCATTGATGTATTTGAAATTTCAGTGTTCGAATAGTTATTGATTATCTAGTGGCCTGTAATATAGAATGGAAGGCATGTTGGTAGTGGTGTAGGGGACTGTGAGGAGAGCTTATTAACATTACAAATATGCGAATAAAAATCCAAGTTTATGAGATGTTAGAGTAACAATATATTATCAAAAATTGCAGTAATGAGTTATATTAATAAAAAGGTTACTTGGATATAATGTTAAAGTCCGCTACTACAAATTATTAATATAATCCACGGGAGCGTTCACTGTTGGAATTGCGTCTGCTGGTAGATGCTGTGGAGAGGTTGTAGAGTTGTCTTTGGATAAGGATAATACACTCCTGCAATAAATCCAAAGTATACAACACGTTATGAGTGGAGCAAGTAAGCAGAAACGGCTAGATAGAAGGCAAAGCTCCCAATATTGGTGGCTTATGGTTTCGTTTATTGATGATGACGAGTATGGTAGGAGTATTTTGATGAAATCATAGGAATTTCATTAACTATTACCACATAAATAGAATAGGCTTCGGTTTGTGAAGGATGCACTTCCACATGAGACATCTGGGTGTATGTGTATGTGTGTAGATTGTAACCATCGAAGCATTTAGAGTAATATGAATTCAAGATCAAGATAATTTACTGTATATGAATTTCTGTTAGTTTATGAGTCTGTGTTCATTATAATCGGTAATTTCTATCTCCATTCAGAAATGAAATCAAATAAATAACATGAGTATGCCATATGAGATTGTAAAGCGAAATGAAAATGCCGATGATTCCCAAACTAGGATGAAACAGCTGTCCAGTCCTCCAGTGGTGGTTTTCAATGGTTCTCTAACTGATATCAATCCATGGTCAAACTCGTAAAAACAAATCTAATCCTTACAAACCAACTCTTGAAAATGAATAGTCATTTTCTCACACTTATTACGTCATTCCGACTTCCGCCCTCCTTTTTTAGTTTCTACTTAGGCATCCCTTCTAGATTACAACTCACACTACGTAATACACTTTCGAGGGCAAATTTGACCAGTATCTGATTGGTCTTATGATTTCCTTGTTAAATATAATTACGATTGTACAGCAGTTTATAAAAGTAAATCGGCGAAAAAAGAAAATTTTCTTCTCTGTTTACGGCTTTTTTAAATGAAAATGAGATGAAGGGTTGTACACGAATATATGTTAGGAAGGCATTATGTTTCAATCAGTATTTCGACACTAGGTGATCTCACTTTGTGATACTAGTCTAGAATACCTTGAGAATTCAACCAATAACACTTATATGAATGGAGAGTGTAAAACCCATAACTTAAAAGTACTTAATAGTCTGAGTACACTGTAAGGAGTGAGAGTGACACTAACAAACTGGGGTTCCACTCCCAGTCAGCACACACCTTAACCTCCCCTAACTGGTTGCAAGCCCGACGAAGAGGGAAGGTTGAGCGTACAGACACTTCAAATCTCAAGCTTGAGGCCTTATTTTCTATTTTGAACACAAAAGAATAAAATAAATAATAATTATATAAACAATAAGGCGTTCAGCAAAGAGTTACTCTTTTCGGCCGTATCATTCACAGGCTGTACAATCGCCTGCATATAGTAAATTGCTTTAGAACCAAAAAGAATATTTTCAAGGATGTGTCATTAGAATTAAAATTTTAGATAACAAATTAAGTAGTGTAGAAAGCGTTAATCGGGTAGAGACTAGAATAAAATTATTAGAACTGTAAGTTTTAAATGAAAAATTTCGTTAATGTGTTAGAAAATAAGATGAGATAAAATAAGCTAGTTGAGTGACGTTATCTAATTGACGGGGTTGAGTAGAGCTGAACTAAAATTAAGATTGAACAAAAGTTAACACTGGCTCACTTTTTCTCTAGACGAGACTGTATGTATGCATGTTTGTATGTGTGTGTGACCGGGAGAACATTAAGAACCGATCAGTTAACGTCCGTTAAATTAACAGAGCATAGAAATGTGGCCTGGTGCTCTGAACAAACATAAGTCAGGTTTCAAAAACATTTGATAGCGATCGCTTCAGCAACTCCTTTTTTTCGAAGTATCCAAATTTTCTTAAGAAATTAACTGGGACCTCCACCGTGTAAGTTCTGCTCGAATCGTTATTGTAGCTTTGTTCAGTCGATTTCATGAAAAGTAATATGTGTGTGTGATGTGATGCGTGTTTATTGTCTTTGATTAACTGAGAATTATTTGTACATTAATAAAAAACACTATGAGTTTTTGGTAAATCTAAGCAACTGATGTTCATAGTGATGGTTATTTTACTAGATCCCAACATACATGATATTGACGAATCTGCTCGAATCCTGTGAATTTTAAGGCGTCAACTGAGGCTATACGTACACATGGTATTGAAGTTTAGGTAGAAATTTTGTTGATACAGTCAGGGTTTCCCGTAATAATCTTATCAGTAGCACACGTCATAGTTATACATCCCGATTATTACATCAATTTTAAGATTTTCAAGTCTAATGACGAACGAAATCAGTAATAGAACCAGTGGAAATCAGTGGGGAGTACTAGACAGCTGTTTCGTCTTAGTTCCAGACTCCAGCGATACGCACCCATAACCACGTCGGGGGGTCGGCCCGTTAAGCATTTAACCGCTTAGATAAAATCCAATGACCCATGAATTCTAACTTCTACTAATTTGCGATATATATATATATATATAACTCTAGTGCTAGCCAATATCATCGCTGGACATTTATGCTTATACCCAACTTAGTGAACCCCATTGGGGGTCTTCTCAACTCTCCATTACAGCTCCGTCTCTCACTCAGTCAATATTGTGCATTAGATTAATTTCCAAGTGTTTGTTTTCGGAGATAGAGAGAGAGCGGCTGATTGATTTTAAATGACATCATGAATAATTGATGTTAGTTAGAGAAATAGCTGCCTGGTATTCGTCCGTGGTGGTAGTTCTCCAACTGATATCTATCCGTCATCGAATCCCTCTGCAAACCAACATTTGAAAATTAAATTTTTCAATCGATATCATACAAAAATATATAGTCATATGAGCTTCAACAGTTTGTTGTACATATTCACAACTGGATTCATTGAAACATAATCTTGTATAGTGCGTAAATAATGGTAAATCTTACTTGAAATATTTATATATCACACTGTGGATTTAATTCGGGCTACACTTTATTATGTAACACGTTAAGGTTTTCTTTTTTTTCTCTTTTTGTACAGAACCATCTGGATAACTATCCTGCGAAAATGACCGGTAAAAGTCATCACCTTAGTAATCCATATGAAGATATTGGCAGTGGAATATTTATGAACCGGTAAATGTTGATTTCGTTTTACGAGATAAATGACAAACGGAGAGAGACGGTTGTAAATATCTTATGCTGACTACTTATTTCGATCGATATTGATATTCTCTAGGTGTTTTCTAAATGAGTAAAATGTCTAACTCAGGTTAAAGTAAGAACATAGAATTCTAGGACGATTAAGTATGTTTGTTGACACAAGGATAGAGTGTGCTATCCTATTTTCTGAGACATTTTTTTTGTATATTTGATTTGCCACAGAGTGTAATTGAATATATATTGATTTAGTTGTTTTCTCTAAGCTGGGATGGCTTAACCGTTAAAGTACTCATCATGCTTTGAGACATCGTGTTTAGCGTTATTTTCACATAGGACGTTCAGATGGGAAAATCAAAGTTATGGAATTACGTCATCCATCTCGTAAGATAACTTAAGAACACTAACTTTTATTCACTTGTAGTAAAAAAATGTTCTCCATTATTTCGAAGTTCGACTGGCGTCTAAATGATGTTCCAGGATGGACCTCGTTGCCGTTGTTTATTTACATCAACTTGGTCATACAACAGTTGCCTCTTTAACTTTATTGCAGACATGTTTTTGCTAATGTTTAGTATTTTGGTGGTTTAATGCGTTACTTTCAAGGAGTTGTACGCATTATGCACTTCCGTCCCTTGGATTCCCAGTGGAACAAATGGCTTCAGCAGCTCATTTCTATTTTACTCTGATCTCTGCAGTCCTTTTTAACTGGCTCCATGATTGTCCATAAACTTTCATTCCCTCAAACCATCTCCTCTGTGCCGCTTACAAACCCATGTCAAACTCATCGTTTTCTGTTTGTGTTCTACTCTCGAGAGCCTGGCGTGTGATGCTTTCATCTACGGGACTACGATCGAAACTTGGTAAAACCACAAGTAAATCAAATGGTATTTGTCAGTTGCACACAGATGTGTGATTGTGTGTCATTATGTGGAAATCGGTTGCCACATATCATATCTCTCTGAAAAATGTTTCATAGTTTTCTGTCCTTTGGCGTAGCCGCATAAACAGATATGCTTTTTTGTGAGTATCCTCCTTTATTTATCAAGGGAGGAGGGGTGTGTGAATTTCTGATCGTCTCAGTTCTGTGTCTTTCTGTAAATAACCGTGATATGTGGGATGGTATTTACTTCACCAAATATTGTCTGTTTTACGTCAAAGTAACTCTGTGTGTGTGTGTGTGTTGAGGGACAGTTCCCTAGTTAAGTAAGTCAATTTACTTCAGGCGAAATATTAATATCCACTGTCACATATTAACTCCAGATTTGATGGAGTTATTGTTCGAGTGGAATATATTTCGCTTGAGAGAGAATGTCATTGTTTCAAGCAGATAGGTATACAGTACATCATGCCATCACAACAACAGTATTCCGCTAATTTTACTATAGAGTTAGCGATATTGGTGATTTTATGACTGAACGGAACTGACACGTTATCAGTTTGTTATAACTAAACTGAATAAATCCGTTGCTACTTTGTTATGTCTGCGCCTGTTAATTACTATAACGGTAATGAACTCAACTGGTACGCCTAATATGCCTATTTGTCCGTTGTAGCCTACGTCTCACTGAGCCACGCAAATATCAAAAGAACAAAACTGGTCTGTGACTGTAAGATTATTGTACGTCGGTGGCACAGTGGTTAGGACTCTCGCCGACCATGCACATGGTCCGAGGTTCGATCCCCTGCCGGCGCACACCTGATATCTATGGTCGGCCTGCAAAATTTGGGCTACCAATATCTATGCTGAAAATTCCATACTTGTACCAAAAATACAATGTGGAATCAAGCTGTAAATCAAAATAAAAACTAGAAAATAAAAATAAATATTATACTATACATCCATCAGGAAACAAAACATCACATTAATATATTTAATTTATCACAATACATTTGGCTCACAACCGTGAGAATGGACTGTGCTTAATGGCTGGAAATTTCTATTCTGATAGTTTGGTGATCCTATATAGACCAAGGTGAGACAAAATAAGATGAATTGATCACACACACTAAATCACAATATGCATGAGAATTGATAGATTAACATAATAACTCCATTGCAAAATAAATCACATGATTCATGAGAAAGGATGTGATATGCTATTTTATGCTGGGTCCTATCATGTAATTAAATTCCTAATACTTTCCATTATCGATATTTTATATTTCACATTGAATTCAAAAATGAAGATTTTGACGAAACGATGGATTAGATTGTTATAGTGTTTATGTGGATAAGTTTTGGATTATAGAAAAAAGACGTTACAGCATGACTATGACCCCTACAATACTTGTGTGTATAAAACTTTCTCTTCAAAGTGAAAATCAGTTGAAATGAATGGATAGGCAAATAGGGCAGTAGAGTTGATAGATTTCTTAAGCAAAATTAGAGTCACCTGTTAAGAAAAGGGTGGAAACGTGATGAGGCGACATGATGCTAAACTTTAAGTCTGTAATAATCTTTACAATTTGCAGTACAGTAGAAATCCAGTCTTATTTGGAATAAGTCGACACAATGTGCTGTTGTAGAGAATTCCATTGGTTCATGATTCGATTCAGGAAACGAACTTCCAGATGTACACGATTCGATTGTGGTCTATGAATTTTAGATTGGTCACCTCGCAAGTGGTTGGTCTCGAAGGGCGGGGGGAAACAGACAGCATAAATTAGTATCCAAATCTTTAGGTAAAATACGGAATGCTAAGATGAGGTCAGTTCTCAGCTGCCAATATGAAAGTGGGAATAAATCCAGTTGATCGGATCTCTTCTCACATGAGAAGTTTAATAATCTCTTGGTTATTTAAATTCCCACTCTTCCTACCCTTTCTAGTATGTCTGCTTCATATATGAAACGTGGGCTGACTCCCTGGATCCCATATTCGAAATGAAGTCTGACGCATGATGGAGTCTGTAATATTTTAAAACTTTTCGCAGCCAATGCTCTACAGTCAACTAAGGCTAATTAGGTTATGGTTTGAGACCACATTCCTAAATTCTTACTCTCGTCATAGATGAATGAAACTCATTATTTGTATGAATATTTTATGTTAATTTCTTAAGACAAACGATTATACTATTCAATCAATAGATCTGGATATTTTTGCAAAGCAAGACGATCACTATCACTGCCGGTCTATTACCATCATCTATATCTGCCCAACTTTCTTGGGCTAAACGAAGATTTGTCAAACATGAATGAGCTGCCCTACAACCATGCTGTTTCTCTGATAAATTACATTACTCTCAACTTGTTGGACAACAGCGTCAAGTATAATTCTTTCCGGCAGTCTTACGACAATGCTATCTAGACCAACGGGACGGTAATTCTTAACTAAATGTCTGACTCCTTTTGAACACCGGACTGATGATGCCATCATTCCAGTCTTTTGAAGACAGACTGGGTCAGTAACATGTTTAGTGGCACCGAGAGCAGTTCGGTTGTGGTTTCAACCAGTGCACATGCTTTTCGTGGATGGCCTCTAGACTCACTATGATTGACCTTTTTAAGAGATTCCAGGATGGATTCTTTCTTAATATGAAGAGTATTCAGTCATAGATTAGATTCCAGAAAATCTAATATAGATGCATTACCCTTTTCAAAGAACACTTAGCTCAAGTAATTCGATGGAGTCTCAGCCTTTGTGAGATTTTCATCAACCAAATCTGTCGAGCCTGCATAAACTAGAAAAATAGGGATAGCGTCAGTTTTTGTAGTTTATCTCTCCACATACTCGAAGAGTCTTTTAGGATAACCCTGCAAGTTCATAACTACCTGTGAATCATAGGCCTTCCTGGACTCATAAATCAAGGTCTTGCATTGATTTCTGGTTTCAAAGCCTTTTAGTCGCTGCTTACCAGAGAGGAAAAGGTTTTGTAACCTTTTCGTCGGCCAAAGTGGTGTCAAAGCCCATCTACTTTTCCACAGAGGAATGGCTTGTTGCTTTGCTAGGTGAATAATCACTCCAAAATGTATCTTTGAATTTATTCCATGCATCATTGATTGACAAGTTAGTACTGATTGACTAGTTCACAGTTGAAACACTTTTCAGAAGTTATAATATCCATATGTCAAGTGTTAAAGCAAGCCTGAGGTTGAACCCGAACTAAATCACAATTCTTGATGTTTGAGGACTACACCCATTGACCACTGTTAACCAGTGAGAAGTGAATTGTTAGACTACTTGTGTCTTCTGCGTCATGCGCTTTCACCATGTCCAGCAGGGGATGGTCTTGGATAGGACCTAAGAGTGTGTTATCTAAGAAATGACAAACAAGAACTACTCAGTATATATGGAGTGCATCAAAGTCACCTAGAATGAGACAGTTGTTAAATCTATTCCATTGCTTAATGTCGTCATACTGACAATTCGAACTTTGATATATCACTCCATTAAGAAAGTCACGGTCAGTAGAGCTAATTTCATAAGTGCTCATTTTGCATGTTCCACCTTCATGAGCTTTGGATCCTCACTGATTCTGTCGCTACAAAGACAGCAAAGCTCTAAGAGCCCAGATGGTCTCGTCTAAATCACAGACAAGTCATGTTTCAGTTATAACCACTATGGCTGGGTTTAGTTTATTTAGTGCCGAGACTTTCTGTATTGGTTGGTGTGTTACCTGTGAAGGCCTTATACAAGTTTCAGATTATCTGCACAGGTGTTGGAAGCATTCATTTCTAGGACCTGAATGTTTGGAAGCCCACAGGTTTCCAGTGGGTTGTCCCGATTTTGCATCTAGCTTCTTGTTGAGACAGCACTTCTTTCCTCTTCTTTGCGTTCTTCAGAGACTAGCCTGGGATACTCTGGTACCACTGAGTTTGTATATTGGCTAGCAACTGATTTTGTTGACTAGATGAGCCTGGTACCGCTTTAAGTAGTTTATGCTCCTTAGATGTGTTACCAGCGGCCCTTTTCCCTATCTTAACCAATTTCAGTTTGTTTGTGCCAGAGGTTTTCCGTGAGAATTTTCCGAATAAGATCACTAAGTCTAAATTGTGGGAATGCGTTCGAGACCATCTGTCGTCTAACATGCAGGATGACTACCCACTCTGTCCAGAGCAGAATGAAAACTCCGGGACACTGCTGTAAGTATGTGCAGACATTACTTCCGTGCATTTCCTCAGTCATTTAGAATGCTTAACATTCCCTGAATCTGGGGTACTGGAACCCCTGGAAGGGTGAACTTCATAGTGATACTGCTAATTTCATCAACAGAAGTGTAGTCTACATTTTCCATGTGAATTAAATTGTTCTTGAGGGGTTGCATGGCTTTGGATATCACTGATTAGCGTGGACTTTGATGGACAAACGCCTTCACATTGAACGCGGTGTATACCTGTAACACCGCTTATATATGTTATCATGTTTAATCCAGTACACCTCTTGTGGTCACCACATGCGGTAGTCATCATACTACATTCTTTCTTCTACAGGAAATAAACATGCAAGTCTAACGACATAGGAAAAGTTATATACATAAAGTGGCATCATAGGAAAGGTTGTTGAATGACGAGAAAAATGCAGGAGAAACGAAACATAGCATTTAGCGTCTTGTATGTATTTTATAGTCAGTCAGATTCCTTACATATAAGCAAATCTGTAATCCGGTCACTTGTGTTTTCATAAGAAGCAGACCGTCTTTCGGTATATAATGTCACGGTGAAACACTGACTTCAGTGAATTTAACTTGTGTTGCTAATGTTTTATACTCCATGGTCTAGTTAGAGATTCTGAAGAGGTTTTCAGTCAATAATTTGAGTTGTAGTATGAAGAATAGTTAATCTGCGATATTAACTGTTAGTGTATCACTGCTTCTTTGTTGAATAGACAGAAATTAGGCTACTTAATCGCTGAAGATATAGTCCGATTATATCACAGAATTAAAATCACTGGCGAAAATGTTTGTAGCTTGCTTTTGACTTCTAATACTAAGGAGTAATACGGTGTTAGGAATGCACTTTTTAATCTACCTAGATGTAGATGTACTGACTTGCTTCATTCTGCGGTTACTCAACTTTCGATTTTCTCTTATTATATTTTTGTTCAATTTTTGTGTGCAGGTGTGTGTGGCACATTTCTTAGTGCCTATATACTGTAGTAGCGAGTTTATGTCTGTACAGACAAAATCACTATAAATCCTGTTACATACCAAAATACGGTAGGTATATTCACGTTGATATTGTGAATTTCCCATAATAAGTGTCCATTTCACTCAGTAGAATAAATGAAGCGATGAGACAACTGAAATTTACTAATTTTTTCTAGTCATTGTGAAGTGTACTTGTTAATGTGATGTTTATATTTCCGATTGGATTTTAGTGCTGCTATGGTAATGGCTAATATCGATTCTTTACTTGATGGAATGTTCACAAAGGCTGCAGCGGATGATGTAAGTGTTCAGTTCACTATTATTATTATTATTATTATTCAGACTTTTGTTTAGTACTGAAATCTAAGTTTTCAGTATTACTAATTTGAGACTGGTGCATTGTTATTTCAGTCATAGAATATTCCCCAACGACACATGTGACCCGGACTCGATTCTTGGCTGCCGAACACTTAAAAGCTTGCGTAGCTGGTAGTAGTAAGCCCTATAAATAGGGAAGGGTGAACACGAGACAAGTAGCCCCATCCCATAAAGTCTCATCACCACCGTTACTGTAAATTCAAAGCTCAAGCTTGAAGCCCTATGTTCCACTCAGTACCCAAAAGAATTCATAAAAGAAAAGTTGAAGCAATCAGTGAAATATGAATGTGTAATTTCCAGTTGTTCTTTAATGTTATGAATCATTCAGGAGACTAGGATAACAAGGAATTAGGAAGCTGTTTATTCAGCGTTTTTTGGTCTACATTCTCACTTGTATAGAAATAATCTGATGTAATGGTCAAACCAATGTATTATAACCGTTAATGACAGTGATCTCGTAGCTGTTCAGGGTAAAAATCGGTTTTCATGCTAGGATTTCCCTCAGATGTTCAGTGTTTAAAAAAACCATGTTCTTTGTATTTGAGGAATAACTGTTCATAAAGTTTGTTCAAGGTACAATTTAACAGATTACCATATATTTTGTTAGCTTTATTTTTTGATTGGTTGGAGGATTTCATCATGAGCTGACATCAGTTAGAGAACCACTGGAAAACCGCTTGGGAGTACTGGACACCTTTTTTGTCCCAGTTTGGGATTCTTCATGAATTGACAGATGTTAGAATTCATGAACTGGTCACTGGATGAGGCCCCAGTGAGTGGCATAATGGTCTACCAGCTAACTAGCTCTCCTTGTAACCAGAATGTCCTGGATTCGAACCCTATCGGTGGTGTGGGTGAGTAGGTTAACGAAACAGCTGTTCAGTACTCCCAGGTGATTTTCCAATGGTTCTCTAACTGATATCAGCTCATGTGATGAGTTCCTCCAACCAATCAAACAAAATCCCTACAAAATCTATACTTTGATAACTTTATTTTTATTGAATGTAATGCATTGATCACTGAGTCCAAGGCGGATTTCTGCGTTTCTGATCATTATATATGACAGATTGGGTTGTGAAAGTCTTTTGTGAGAACAGAAACTAACTTATGGTTCACGGAATAACCGTTGACATTATATGGTGAATGGGCGGCAACACGAATAGAAATGGAAACTATGTGAAATGCATGAATACCAGAATTAATATTTAGACAGGCTTTTATCAGTGATTCGATAAAACCATCGGTTGAAGAATTTTTATTCACTCATTCCAATGGTTAGCTAACATTGTAGTAGCAGAACATTTTGGAAACAGAAATATACTACTTTAGAATATATAAGTAAGCTACGTATGTTTCAAAATTGGACTATCCGCAAAACATCCGTTCTACCATACAGCAATAGCTGTGCTGTTTATGAGTATTCGAATACCACTCAGTTTTTCAATTCATATATGCCTACTGATGAGAAATGAAGGCGAAGTAAACAGTTTCTATGAGATATTACTCTTTACTCTGTATTTTTTTGTGAACAGGATATTTTATATTTTGCGGATATTTGTGCGGGACCCGGTGGATTTTCAGAATATATTTTATGGCGAAGATGTAATTCTTCACTGAATGTGTCCAGTAATTGTCGAAGTTGGAGTAAACTGACTAAAAGCCAACACTATCTGCTAAAGGATTTGGTATGACTTTGTCTGGATCTTATGACTTCCAAGAATATAATTTTCATGCTGGTCCCATAGAAGCTTTTATGCCGCATTATGGTGTAATAGGTGACGGTGATATCACGAAATTGCCTAATTTGGATTCATTCGCCTCTTTAATTAGTCGTAGTACAAATGGCATTGGTGTTCATGTGGTTTTAGGAGATGGGGTGAGTTGAATAACAGATAATTACTTGTCACTAATAATAATAATAATAATAATAATTTCTATTACATCGTTCATAGTCATTTCTTTCAATTATAAGGGGGTTAGATGAGACTGTTTATTATGCTTGATATTAACAAAGATATGTCCACACCAGTTTTCACCATTGGTAGTATACACTGTCAGGTGTTCGAATGTGGAGACCTCACGACACAACGGTTCCACTCGTATACCGTCATGTTCACTATATTATTATTATTGTTCCCTTGGGTTCCCAGTGAAACATACGGCTTCAACTGCACGCACGTCTCCATTTGCTTCTGTCTTCCTTCTGCTGTACTTTTCACCTGCATCCATCTTAGTCCATACTGACTATTTCAACTCCTCTTCACACGATCTCCTCCATGTCACTCTTGCACTGACGTCCCACTCGCCGCTTCCCTTTCGGCCTGGTTCCACTCGAGAAATGGTCTGACGTGCACACGATGTCACCAACCGGCCTCCTCATCCGCGAGTGTCCAATCCATCTCCACTTTCTCCTGCATATTTCTTGGTTGGCGATTGGTTCTCGTTTTGTTTGTTTGTTCCCAGCCATAGTTTCTTGTTGGTGATTGTTTCCGACCCGGTCATCTGATCTTCAGTATAGATCCAGCGAAGACAGACAGTTGTTGATTGATAAAGGTCTGCAACAGGCTGTTGGAAATATTCTTTGTGACCCGCCCACCAAGTTTCTGATCCGTATAGAAGAACTGACTGACTTGACGTGTTTGTATTGAAAATCCGACGAATTTCGTTGTTGATGCTGGCTGAGTGACGAAGATTTCGGGATTGGTTTCAGCTGGTTGATGAATGTGTTTCTCGCCTTCCTGATTCTCGCTCGATTTGACATCCTCGTCCGTTCCGACTGCGTGTAGTTGAGACAATGCTCCCTAGATAAGTGAGTGAATGAAGTAGCCTTTTTCAAATCCCTCCCGTTGATGGTGATTGGCGCTGGATGTTGATGTTGTTGTTGTTGTAGTTGGTTGGTTATTTTCATAACCTCCGTCTTGTCTATGTTCACTTGGAGTCCTGTCTTCGCCGGCTGCTTCTTCGACCAGTTTGTCGGTTTTCGCTTGTAAGTTCACTGTATCAATCAATATATTCTTTTGGTATTTATAAAGGCAAGTGACTGCCAAACGTGTAAGGTTTAAAAATATATCAACCTGTATTCATTCAAGTAAAATGATGAATATGATCGGTGATCATTCATCGAAGTGTTGTGTTGTAATAGCTTGAATATTCTCAAATGATGTTATGTTAGAAAATTTTCCGACTCTTTGTAAAGTAAGTAGGAAGGAGATGATTACAATGAACATGTAGAGATTAATTCACATACTGCTTCTTATTTGAAATATTACACATCAATAAGATTATCCATTTTCTGTGTACAGACAAGTTCGATTCCCTGACTACTTTGTCTTGACGTGTAGAGTTCTGCGTGGTGTGTATTATGCTGTACATCAGTATTGAGAATGTTTAAAATAGATTAGGAATATCAGCTACATCAATCATCGACTTATTTGTGTTGTCATTATTTGTTGCGTACTTTTCTATGCTTCACTTTATGGAAAGCTGCTGCAGTTGTATACAAAACTTTCTAATTTAAAAAAGGAGAAGTTGAAATCGTTTCGAGGAATTAAGGAAATTCTGTTGTTTTTTTCAGTTATCCGGAACAAATCATCTGTGTATCAAAATATGATTGACACTTACTATGTGAAGACTGATGACACTTATCAGTTACCCAAGTTGAAATAGACAGAGTTGCAATCTGACCTAACAGTCATTGATTGCAAGTTGTGTGCTCTCGTTATTTGATTCATATCTCTTCTTGACTTCACCAAGTCATTGTTGATTGTTCCTGCTATACTATTTCTTAAAATTATAATATAAACTTAATATGAAAGAAGCAACCTCCTTCACCTACCTACATTCGAAGCATCGTTTCAACTACAGGAGGAACTGACGAAGATATCAAAGCCAGAATCGGAACAGCAAGACAAGCTTTCATTACTCTTAAGTCTGTGTGGAGGTCAGCAGCACTCTGCATGAAAATGAAAATAAGATACGGATTTTCAACTTCTATGTGAAGTCAGTCAGTGCTACTATACGGATCAGAGACTTGGTCAGCGCGTCATAAAGAGCGCCTCAAACAAACTACTGACCTTCATCAACAGCTGTCTCCGCTCAATACTTAAGATCAGATGGCCGGCCAGAAAAGATCAGCAACAGGGATCTCTGTCAGTGAGCGAACCAACCAGGAACCGATTGTGAAACAGATAGGCAGGAAGAAATGGAGGTGAATTGGCCATACTCTGAGGAAACCATCAGGTGACATCACATGCCAACCCATTGCTCGAGTGGAACCCGGTTGATTAGGAAGTGGCGAGTTGCTTTTGAGTGCGAGGGTGACATGGAAGAGGTCATGCGAAGAGGAGGTGAAAGCATGTGGGCAGACGTGGAGCCAGATGAAAACGTCTACGGAGAACCGGATGCAGTGGAGACATGCGTCTGAAACCCTATGTTCCTAAAGGCGACAATAATAATAATGATATTCTCTGAATCGCTTAAAAAAGCAATTTAGTAAGGATTATGATTAATTAATTAATTGTGTAAACGAGGCAATTAGAGTTTATCAACAACAATTTTTGTGTGTTGGTGGGTCAATGATAGGATGCTCATCAGTGACACATGTAATCTGTGTTTAATTTTCACGCTACTCACTCTTGAGTTTCGTCTTATTTACCAGTCGATAGTAGTCCAGAAATGAAAAAGTGATTGGTTGTGTGAGGGACTAGCAACCCCACTTCATAACAACAATACTACCAATATTGAAACCTTAAACCTTGAAGTTCCATGTGCCACTCGAGACTCAGTGAATGAAAAAGTGGCAGTATTGTAAAGTAGAAAAATATATTTTTAGTCCATTCAGTCACTGAATGAAATAACCATTGTATTACAGAACTCTGAGAATTGTAAATCAGGATCTATCTCAACGACCCATCAATTTAAGATATCAAACTGTTATGTACTCGTCGAGTAGTTAATAGTCCTGATGCGGAAAGAGGGAAATCAGAAGACCACCTCGTTCACGATGATACTTGTATTTTCCATACAAGGAAAATAAATGTCACACTAGTATGTGAGTGAACGGGTACGTAGAGTACGAAAACTGTGTGAACAAGAATGATAAAGCAAGAGTATATGTGAAAATGGCTAATACACATGAACCAATAAGATAACGTCTTACCATGATTGGTTGTAATGTCATGTGATAACAAGGTCATACATTGTTTATTTAGTTAGTGGACAGACAAAAGCATAATGTCAGTTATAATGGAATATCGATCCATATACACATAGCAAAATATAACAGACTATCAAAACAAAACACACATCATGTGGATACATATCAAAAACTTCACAATATCACGTAGATTGCATACTACTATTTACTCAGTAGTAGTTGTACAGTCTGTACATAATCATCAAATTCTCATCTTTGGTATATATCTAATTTTAGAAGAATAGAAATTCGTCTTATTCCTGATTGTTCCGTTCATTCCAGTATACTGTTTGTCGTTGAGTACTGCTGTGCTTCTTTTGTTTTCAAGAGTTGATTTTTAAGGATTAGATTTGTTTTTCGTGTTTGACCACATTCAATATCAGCTAGAGAACTATTGAAAATCACCACTGGAGGACCGGACAGCTGTTTCATCCTAGTTTGGGAATCATCGGCGGTACGCACCCACTGCCAGGGGTCGAACCCGGGACCTTCCGGCTACAAGACAAGCTCGTATACCATTCAACCGCTGGGACCCAGTTCAATGGCCCATGAATTCTAACTTCTACCAATTCGGGATTTCAGCGTGACCACCAAAAATGTCACCAGCGGGAAATCCATCCTCACATCTCGACTAGATGCTCCTCACTGATCACGACTCCTCAGTAGAACTCTTAATGGAGAGGAGTTTCTCCGGAATAACGGAGAGGTTTGGGAGTTATTTTTGGAATTATTTTTGTTCATTGATTCAGAAAACCACCTAAATCTGCCTAAAAAGATTTTTTCTGTGAACGTATGGTGTATTAGGACGTAGAGATTTTCATTCCTAATGATTGTCTCATCGGAGTGCACTAGCTAACACTTTATAGAGTTTTCTTGGGTTTGTGAGAACATATCTTTCAGTCTACTGATTGACGATGCAATATTCATGTGTTGTAGTTACCAGAGTTCACTTGCTTATCAATGGTCACTATTTCAGAACACTCTAGTTCACTTACTTATAAACTACTGGTGTGATACGTCTTAACGACAATTTCGTCGATTAACTTACTGTATAATTACTGTTTGTGTTTATCAATTTTGTCTTCTATGTAAACTAAATCTGTGTCACAGTTTGTGTTTCAGTCATTTTTAACATGAATGCAGAAAAAATCCAATTCATTTTTTAAGTGGAAAGGTGTTTGTAGTTATCGGATCACTTTGGCTTCAGATAACATGTATACACTGGAAAACTACTGAACAACTGAAAGTAACAACCTCTTTCATGTTGCTAGACAGCAAAAGAGTGATACTGACTACACCGATCACTGGGTGATGCGGGTTCGAATCTCCTCAGAAGGGACATGAGCTCCTTCAAGGTTGCAGATACACCTTGCTAACTGACTGACTGGTGAGTGCCAATTAACACGAAACCTAGGGTGTTGACAGGGCTTCCTGCCGATTGCCTCCAATCATCAAATATCAACAATTCACAGAGGGATTGTAAAATGATAGAGATTTCATTTATTCATTGGTAGACTATTATAGAACATCAGGTTGTGTTGTGTTCAATGAGGAATTTAAACAAATTGAAGTAGCATATTATAAGAAAACAGTAATGAATATCATCTAAGTTTATAGACGCATGAAACACTCGGATTAGTTAGTGACATGGTGTATTTGTCAACTATATATATGGTCTCTACATAGTATCAAAACTTCTATAATCTGTGCTGAATATACATACCATTCAAAACTTTAAACTGATACCTGAAAGTGTTTGTTGCATATTGCAGAGCTTCGATTTTATGGGACAGTACAATTTGCAAGAAGTTTCATGTAAACAACTCTTTGTATGTCAGTGTTTGTGTGCATTGATGATTCTAAGACCGGGTAAGTTTATTAAATAGTGTGTTTATCTGTTCACTTGTATTCTTATTTATATGCGTAATTATTAGCCGTGATTAGATATTTGTGGTATTTCTGGTTTGATTCTGATCTGTTCAAGTGTCGAATTCAATTTGTCATATACATATTGCACAAGTTCAGTTGAAAATTACTATTGATAATGTGCGTCGGTGGCACAGAGGTAGGTAGAATGCTCGCCAGCCATTCACATGGTGCGGGGTTCGATCCCCGGCCGACTCACTCCTTTACCTCGCTTAACCAGCAATAAGATTGGTAAAGAGGCAAGGTTAGGCATGAGGCTAGCAATTCCATCTTATAAAAATAAATCCCACTACTACAGGAACTTCAAGACTGTTCCACTGGGAGCGTAAAGGAATAAAACAATAATAATATTAATACCAGCTTTATTCTGGGAATTCTGTGTAAGTGCAATACAGAATTCTCAGTGTAAAATTTCTTGCAATATGATCTGCTGCGCAAAAAGAACCTTTAAGTGAATATTTGTCGACAGTATTTTACTTTCTGTAACGTTATTCTATCTAAAACAAGATTTAATTCTCCATGATATATATATATTTCATTTTCTTCTTGAAGAGAGCACAGCCAGTGGGTTAGAGAAAAGACAATTTAAAATTCGCGTGACTTTATGTTGCTATCCAAAAAAGAAATTGAAAGAATAAAACAATAAGAAAGGGTGAAAACTGGTTGAAGGAGCAGGCTGCGAAGACAGGACTCCAGGTGATGAAGATAACCAACCAACGACAACAACAACCAGCACCAGTTACCATCCAAGGGAGAGATTTGATAGAGGTTACCTCCTTCACTCATCTAAGAAGCGTTGTTTCAACCACAGGCGGAACGAATGAAGAGATGCCTAAGCCAAACAGAATTGGAATGGCAAGACACGCCTTCATCAACCTGCAACCAGTTCGGAAATTCGGATTTTCAACACACACACGTGAAATCAGTCGGAAACTTAGTTCATCATGAAAAGCACTACAAACAGGCTACCACAGACTTTTACCAACAGTTCCCTTCTCTGGCTTCATTCTGAAGAACAAATGGCCAGAAAGAATAAGTAACAAGAAACTCTGACTGTGAACAAGCCAACTGAGAGCCGACCGCTCAACAAAATATGTAGGAGGAAATGGAGATTGATTAAGCATACATTGGGGAGACCGTTAAATGACAACGCGCGCAACGCAGGTCATCACTCTAGTGGAATCAAAATGGGGAGCGACGAGTAGGTCGTCAGTGTTGAGGGTAACATGGAGGAGATCGCTAGGGGAGGAGGAGATGAGAGATTATGGGCAATCGTGGAGCCAGATGAAGAGAACGGCAGATAATAGAAGAGGGTGGATATGTGTTGTTAAAGGAATCGTGGGCATATATTTGACAGTTAAAGAAATGAATTTCTCTGCCAACTGTGGTTCAGACTTCTACTAAGTGAAATGAATAAAATGCCGAATCACATGATTTATTACTTATTTTCATTAGTAAATTTTGGAAAGGGTCGTCAATCATCGGATCACCAGATTCTTTGAACTGATGAGAATTGTATTATTCAAACACATTGTAAGACGTTATTCTTTAATTTTTTATATCAGAAAACCTGCAGGCTGTGTAGCTGAATACCTGTTGATAGATCACATGTGATATGTTGCTTGAAATTCCATTTATGTTCTGAAACACACGTGGAAAAATTGATAATTCACCCCATATAAACAGCAGTATTTTTATGGGGGCCAAATGAAAACTCACTTTTCACTAACACAGAATTTCAGAAGTTTCTATTCTTAAGGAATATATGGTGATAAAGTTTTAGTAATTGTGAAAGAGATATGTAACCCTTCGTTCACGAATTTGATATCACTCATGCTAACATACATATATATATGTTCGCAGATATCATATAAACTGTCATTAGATCAAACAGACAGGAAGCAAAACGAATCAGATACATTCAGCAATTACTACCTCGACATCTTGACCACGGTAAATTCACGGTCAGCTGATCTGACAATCCCGCTAGACAATCTACCTGAAGAACTGATGGTTACTTGCATATTTCCTCGAGTTTTGGGATCGTTTTATCTATCCCCTGAGGCGTATGTCATAGTTCTAATACCTGCAATCCATGTTAAATTTAGCAGAATATTGGTCATTCGAATTTGTATTAAATCGGCTTATCTCTAGCAGGTGTTAACATTGAGCCATTGAAGTTTGGAATAATAACTTGACTTTATGCCTCGCATTTTCTCTAGAAATTATTAGAGAATAATGTTCGACACTTTCACCGTCTAAAGTGTAGCAGTGACTGTGTCAAGGATAATGGATTGATGTTGGTATCTACCCTGTCTCACCTGTGTTCTCATCATCAAAAGGTCAGTTTGTTTACAAACATAGATCTTCTCTCAGAAATAAATTGATACCAATGTGAATATCTCAAAATTGTAGTCTTCATGAGTGAGTAGATTTTCGAAAATCACTTGAACGTACTAGCTGACCCCTACCTACATACTGCGGCTGCTAATAATAATAATAACTGTTGCACGTTAGAATTTTCACTGAGATCATACTGCATTCAGTCTTAGCAAACATTTATTATTATTATTGCTCCCTTGGGTTCCCAGTGAAACATACGGCTTCAACTGCACGCACGTCTCCATTTGCTTCTGTCTTCCTTCTGCTGTACTTTTCACCTGCATCCATCTTAGTCCATATTGACTGTTTCAACTCCTCTTCACACGATCTCCTCCATGTCACTCTTGCACTGACGTCCCACTCGCCGCTTCCCTTTCGGCCTGGTTCCACTCGAGAAATGGTCTGACGCGCGCGCGATGTCACCAACCGGCCTCCTCATCCGCGAGTGTCCAATCCATCTCCACTTTCTCCTGCATATTTGTTGGTTGGTGATTGCTTCTTGTTTTGTTTGTTTGTTCCCAGCCATAGTTTCTTGTTGGTGATTGTTTCCGACCCGGCCATCTGATCTTCAGTATAGATCCAGCGAAGACAGACAGTTGTTGATTGATAAAGGTCTGCAACAGGCTGTTGGAAATATTCTTTGTGACACGCCCGACAAGTTTCTGATCCGTATAGAAGAGCTGACCGACTTGACGTGTTTGTATTGAAAATCCGACCGAATTTTGTTGTTGATGCTGGCTGAGTGACGAAGATTTCGGGATTGGTTTCAGCTGGTTGATGAATGTGTTTCTCGCCTGCCATCCCGATTCTCGCTCGATTTGACATCCTCGTCCGTTCCGACTGCGTGTAGTTGAGACAATGCTCCCTAGATAAGTGAATGAATGAAGTAACCTCTTTGAAATCCCTCCCGTTGATGGTGATTGGCGCTGGATGTTGATGTTGTTGTTGTAGTTGGTTGGTTATTTTCATAACCTCCGTCTTGTCTATATTCACTTGGCGTCCTGTCTTCGCCGCTGCTTCTTTGACCAGTTTGTCGGTTTTCGCTTGTAAGTCTTCGATTTTGTGTGACGTCAAACATAAATCATCCACGCGCGAAATCTAGGTCTGCTAGGTTCTTCACGTCGGTCGGTCCAGGATATTCCTGTCTTCTCTTTTCCCACTGTCTGACGCATAATCCAGTCCACCACAATTAGGAATACCATTGGTGATAATAAGCACCCTTGTCTGACACCTGTGTTTACTCCAAACGCCTCGCTGAGTTTTCCGTTGTGGATCACTTGCCAGGTGCCACTGTCGTACAGCTGTTGAAAAAGGTTGATGAATATTTGGGGTACGCCGTAGTACTCGAGTAATTTCCAAATTAGCAAGCATTTACCTTAATAATATCCGTTAGAGTGACAACAGAGTTCACATACTGGAGGAGATGATTTTTCAAATACATCCCAATTCGATACTTTTTGTGTTATATCGCAATATTTAGGTAATAATAAAAAAAATGGAGTTGATATTTTGGGATACCCTAATCACTGTCTAGTTTATTTTAGTGATAGCTTGGGAACTAACAGAAATAAGCGTTTTAAATAAGGCTGTTATTAGATCTATTCTTAAGAAACCTGTAGTTGCTTTACACGATTAGCATATCGTTGGTATTCTAATCATGAGGAATGCTGTTAAATCTTGAAGTAGCTCTAAACATGCCTCTTCGTTTGTCAGCAGTGTCCATGCACCCATAGCTATTGATCCATTCGAAGAATAGCAAAAAAATTAACGCGTAACCCAATTCAGGAGAATTCCCAGTGGATCAAATCTTTCTTTTGTTTTCCAAAGTGCCGAAAGAGACCTTTTCAATGGCGTAGTTGAGCCGTTTAATAATCTTTTATGAATCAGTGAGCTATAATGAAAACAGAGAGTAGTTTAATAGCAAAACTGGGGTTTAAAGCAGCAGGCATTATTATCGTTTTCAGGATCTCATAGGACACATAAATACGAATTAGGCTCGATAAGGCTGAGGTTTTGACATGCATACCTCCATTCTTATACTGCCTAAAACACCAGTCTGGAGTTACAGTGAGGAATTACAGGCTTTAACCAAACTGATATAATGGTAGCTTCCCTCTTTACCAGTCTTATTACTGGATAAGTGAGGTACTGGATTGAGTCGGCCGGTGATCGAACCGCGGACCATGTGCATAGTCGGCGAGCATGCTAACCGCGGTGCTACGACGCACCGTCTCAACACTAATAACCTAAATAATTTGTTTCTTTTCTTCTTCACCAGGTGGGCATTTTCTCATGAAATTATTCGATACATTCACTGAATTCACTACTGGTCTTATTTATATAATGGGCCATTTATTTGAAGAAATTTTCATTGTTAAACCTGTGACCAGCAGACCAGCCAACTCCGAAAAGTTAGTCTAAGAAGTGTGTTTGAAATTAAATTGATTTTGTGTTTAAAAAAGGCGGTAAAATTGTCAATCATTTTGTGAAGGTGAAAGATTGAAGGATATGTAAGAAATTTGTTTGTGATTAAATTATTTTGAAGAATGTGATTTGTGGAGATATAATTAATTTCAAGGTGGGTTTCATCACCAATTGACATCAGTTAGAGAGGAGTATTGAAAGCCTGTGAACACTGGACGTCTCAGTTTGGTACTATCTTCACCAATACGAACTTTCCAGTCAGAGATTGAAACCGGAATATTCGTGTTACGAGGCAAGCAGCTTATCCATTCAGTCAATCAGTTCGAATCTGATGGCCTATGAATTCTAGCTTCTGTTAGTGATGAATTCTTTCATGAAGTGAAATTATTCTGCTGAGTATAGGTGTTGTCCATTAGGATTGAAATTTAACTATCACATAGGTATCAGAATAGTGCGCATGGTAGTGATTGAAGACAAACTTTAATAAAGTACAAGTGGATTCCGTTAGGGGGGGATCAAACAGCATAAACTTGTTCTGAGTTGTGTCAAGCGTTCATAGTTGGTTTGTTTAGCGTACGATGGATAAATCAGAACTGTCATGAACTGAAGCAACCTAATTGTCTAATTGGAACAAAGCGTTGTGATGTGACCAAGGCACTCTACTTGTACTTATGCAACCAGGTGAGGGCCTATGGAGAGTTGTCATCTGAAGTGGTGACAACTAGTGGTGTCCGTCACGGATACCCATTGTCCCCAATCCTCTTTAATTTCATCATAGATGTACTAATGGAATTAATCCTAACTGACTTCAGCGACTCAGGGATTGACTTGTTGCCAGGGTATAATGTTGTTGAAGTAGAATATACAGACGATATAGTCCTTCTAGATGAAGACGCTGAAGACCTTGAGAAACAATCGTCAGATGTTTGGCAAGCGATTCGCTCCTGTCGGTCAAATGTAAGATGATTCCGCAGGACTGGACTACATCGACTCACTCCTAGCTTAAAGATACGGGTGAAGTGGTTGGTGGAGCGTGCTGACCACTTCACTTATTTAGGGAGGAAGCTGCATCAGCCAACGCCAGAAGGTTGACCGCTGACGAAATCTCAGCACGGATGCAAAAGACTCGTTCGGTGTATGCCAACCAACGCCATCTCTGGTGTAGACGTAATATCCGACTCGCTGTCGACCGAAGCTCGTGTGTACTGTTTAGCAGTTCTCTCTGTCCTCCTTCATGGCTGGTTGTGAGTCATGGCCATTGAGAGTGGAAGACATGGAAAGGCCGGCTAGCTGTCTTTGATCATAAGTGTCTGAGTTCTATCTCCTGTGTTGGGTGGCACGATAGGGTGAGTAGTATTGAGGTGAGGCATCGGTCGAGTGCTCAGAACTCAGTTGACGAGGTTGTGAGAGGCGTTACATCGATTGAAATGTCTAGGACTTGTGTTACGCATGCCTAGTCATCGCCTTCCTTCTTAGGTTGTGTCAACTGACATAGGTTGGAAAAGAGCTAGCTAGTGGTGGTTAAACCAAAACATGGCTTCGTTAGTCAGTGAAATCCACAACATTTAGTTTAAGCTAGTCATCACGTGGGGAGGTGTAGACTTCCTGACTGGTTGGTGTCCTCGGGATAGTAAAAAACCAATGATGACTGGAGACAATTGGTGATATGGCTGAAAATCGTTCACAATAGCTGATGCAGATGCATTCGCTCTTTATGATTTATAATATGCAATAAAATTCTGTTGTTCTTCCATATTAGTATTCTTGTTGGATCATATAACTATTTATTATCTCTATTTTGAGCTTCTGCTTACTACCTTCTCTTGTTTTGTGTGCTACATGAAGGGAGTGTGGCACCTTGAACTGCTGCACATCTGTGCAAAGTTTTACGTTGAAACTAGTCAACCAGATGTCGAGTAGTCTATTTAGATCTCAGTTATTTATTATTAATTTTTGGTGGGAAGACAAAGCGGGTGGTGTATTGTATCTTACCTTATTATTATTATATCCTTGAGTTCCTAGAAGAACATAGGGCTTCAGCTGCGCACCTCCATTGCCTTCGGTTTTCTGCTAACTTTTTCACTCCGCTCCAAGTCTGCCCACATGCTTTCATCTCCTCCACGCATAACCTCCTCCAAGTCACCCTTGCACTGACGACCAACTCGCCGTTTCCCTTTCGGGTTCCACTCGAGCGATGGCTTGTCTAGTGATGTCACTTGATGGTTTCCTCAGAGTATGGCCAATCCATCTCCATTTCTTCCTGCCTATTTGTTTCACAATCGGTTCCTGGTTGGTTCGCTCATCGCCAGAGATCCCTGTTGCTGATCTTTTCTGGCCGGCCATCTGATCTTGAGTATTGAGCGAAGACAACTGTTAATGAAGGTGTGTAGTTTGTTTGAGATGCTCTTTATGACGCGCCAAGTCTCTGATCCGTATAGTGAGTAGCACTGACTTCACATTGGAGTTGAAAATCCGGATCTTATTTTTGATGGTGAGTGATGTTGACCTCCACACAGACTTAAGAGTAATGAAAGCCTGTCTTGCTTTTCCGATTCTGGCTTTGATATCCTCGTCAGTTCCGATGGCCTGTAGTTGAAACGATGCTTCCCAGGTAGGTGGGTAGGTGAAGGAGGTTGTTTCTTTCAGGTTCCTCCCATTTATTCTGGCTGATTGTTGTCTGTTGTTGTTGTTGCTGTTGGCCAGGAATCTTCATTACCTCTGTTTTATCTATGTTCACTTGAACTCCTTCCTATCTTTGATGCTTCTTCTGCCAACTTGTTGCTTTTCACTTGCATATCTTCCAGTTTGTGGGAAATCAGACATATATCATCGGCGAAGTCCAGATCCTCCAAGATTTTTGTGTGAGTCCATTTTATGCCTGTTTCCTCATTGCCCGCCGTTGTCTGTCGCATTATCCAATCAATTGCAATCAGGAAGATCATTGGTGATAGTAGACAGCCTTGTCTCACTCCCGTCCTCACTTCGAAGGCTTCCGTAAGTTTCCCGTTGTGGATTACTTGGCATGCAGCATTGTCGTATAACTGTTGGATGAGATGTATAATTGTCGATGGGAACCCGTAGTAGCGAAGTAGTTGCCAAATCACCTCTCGATCGACGCTGTCGAAGGCCTTTTCAAAGTCGATGAAGTTGAGATAGAAAGGTGACTGCCATTATAAGCTTTGTTCAATGATGATTCGTAAAGTGGCGATTTGATCAATACATGATTTGTTTCTCCTGAATCCAGCCTGTTCCGGTCGAAGTTTTTCATCAAGGGCGGCGTGTTTGATTTTCTCCAGGATGATGTGGCTTAGTATTTTGCTTGGGATGGACAGGAGCATAATTCCGCGCCAGTTTTTACATTGACTTAAGTCTCCTTTCTTTGGCAGTTTGAATAAGTATCCGTTCTTCCAATCCTCAGGTACTTTGCCCTCCTTCCACACCTTCTCCAGTAGTGGTGTCATCAAGTCCACTGTTGTCTCTGGGTCCATTTTCAGTGCTTCTGCTGGGATTCCATCTGGTCCTGCTGCCTTTCCGGTTTTTAGCATCTTGATTGCATTCAGGATCTCTGATTTCGTCGGAGGGTCGATGTTCACTGGTAGTTCTGCTTCCGTTGTTGGTATTGTTGGGCGTGTTGTAGGTGGCGGTCGATTTAGAAGTCTTTTGAAGTGTTCAGCCCAGTGTTTTCTTTGTTCCACCTCTTTGGTGATTGACTTTCCATTGTCGTCCTTTATTGGCTTAATCTGTGTCGAACTTTTTCCCGATAGGTGCCTAGTTGTTTGGTAGAGTGTGGCGAGGTCTCCTTCGCCTGCATGCAGCTTGTTCTGCTTCGTTTGCCATGGTTTCATAATATTTTCTTTGGTCTTCTCTGGCACTCTTCTTCACTCTTTTGTTCAGTGTATAGTAGCTTGAATTCAACTCCTGTTTTTGTTGCTCGTCAGTGCACTGGATAATCTTTTGTTTCACTGTCCTTCTCTCTTCTATTAGTTTCCAAGTGTCCATAGTGAGCCACTGTTTGTCCTGCCTCTTCTTTTTACCTAGAACTTCCATGCAGGTTAGGCTCCACATCATTTTCAAGTTTTCCCAGTGCTTTTCGACGCCGACCTCTTTGCTGGTGTTGATTTGTGTCTCGGCTTTGTCCTTTACGCTTGCAATGAAGATGTCCTTTGTAGCCTGGTCCTTCAGCTTTTGAGTGTTGAACTTGGCTTGTGGTCTATCTGCAGCTCCTCCTTCTCTGAAAGCTCTTAGTTTGATTTGGATTGTCCCTTGTACGAGATAGTGGTCTGAGCCAACGTCTGCTCCTCTTCTTACTTTTGTGTTTAGTAGGCTGCGCCTCCACTTCCTTGAGATTGAGATGAAGTCGATTTGGTTTTTGGTTCTCCCATCTGGTGACACCCATGTAGCCTTGTGGATATCTTTGTGTTTGTACACTCTTCCAACAATCACTAGTTCGTTGAAGGTGCAGAAGTCTGCGAAGAGTTCCCCGTTTTCATTCATTTCTTCGAGAGCTTCTCTCTAGCAGACAGCTCTCACCACATGTTCAGTCGACTTCTTTTGGAAGAGTGATACGGCATGATGATGTCTTCTAACGTGAAATTGAATCGGTAGTTGGCCATAACACGATCTCAGATAACTTGTTTATTCGATGAATCCACATTTGTTTTATTGTTATTTTTTGAGTAGATTAAAATCGTATTTTATATCTTTCATATGATGAAGATTGTTATCTTGTCTCTATTCAGATTTTTAATATGCAAAAGTTTAAGGTCAACTCTGATTTCAATGGTTGGCAGTTGCTTACCAGCTCCAAAGTCATCTATAATAAGTACTCCTGAGGCTGGCAGTAAGCGTCATGATACACCAAGTGGTTCACAGAAGTCACATCAGCTTCAAGCGAATAGAAACACTGAGAAGACAACAACATCTTTGAATAAGGCTGAAGATGATGCCGATAAAGAATCATGTTTAGATTATGATTTTGAACTAAATATCACAAAGGAGTCAAATCCACTTAGATTCATGATCAATTACCTTTCACAAGTCAATAAAAAGTTGAGAAATGTCATTTCGTCATCTTGTCGTCAAAAGACTGATGTGTTAAAAGTGTGTCCAAGTGAAATTATGGAAAATGATGTAAAGTTCATGCGTTTTATGCGAAATATGAATGAAAGGTGAGCGTATTTCTTCTTAAATGTTAGTAGACTTTTGAATAGTTACCTTTCAGGTAAAAGATTTCACAAAATAATCAATACATAGGAAAAAGACGTAAACAGTGAAGAAAATTTTCCCTTTTCGACGATTCATTTTCATAAGCTGCTGTACAGTCGTAATTATATTTAACAAAAAAATCATTAGACCAATCAGATACTGGCAAACTTTGTCCTCGGAAAATGTATTGCGTGATGTATGGTGATACCTAGAAAGGATGACTATTCAAGATTATAAAAGAGGCAGAGGTTAGCATGACGTAATAGGGGTGAGATAATGACTTATCAATAAGCTCGTGTAGAAGGGATAGGAACTAGTGGAAAGACGATGTGTTGTTACATAAAATTTGTATGAAAAAGCAATGTTATTAATAAACAGTAATATAATGGGTAATACAATATGGATGATGAGAATAATAATGACAATTAAATAGTAGTAGTCATAACAGTAATAATAGTGAACTTAAGTAATAAAAAAGAAGCGAAATTATAATAAGAACTTTACTTTGCCCACGGTAGGGCGAGAGAATGTATGTATCGCTTTTGAATGCAGAGGTCCGGTCTCAGATCCCGAATAGCTTACGATTCAGGTATGTACAGATATTGAAGGACTCTGTGTAGCACTGTGAAGCATTATTCATGCCGGGGTGCTCGATGTCTAGAGATGACAAGGTGTTCAAGGATGGAGCTGCTACTATTCTTCTTTTCTCCTCTGGCTAACCAAGCTGGACAGTGTTCCAGAATACGTTTGTGGACTTGACGTTGCGTACGGCTGATAAATTTTGCTCCATACGAGCAAGTAAACTGTAAATACACTTTGAAATGGCCAAAAGCAGTATCTTATCCTTAACGTTAGACTGGATTAACTGTCTGCCTAGAATGTGATACGTAAGGTGGCTGCTTGAAATGTAGGTGGCGCATATATACTCATCCATATTGCTACTATTTTAGGTATTTTTTAAGGTAAACATGCATAGTTTTAGTCAGTTTTTAACAATGCAGTTGACAAATGAGATAGTAGGCGGATGAAGATTTCGACTCCGATGATCTTGTTACACAATATTCTTGTTTCTGAAAATGAATATTCTTTTTGAAATTCTACCATCTTTGAATGTTAAATATTATTTTCCAGAATTACAACTCGTCAGTGTATTGCATTGTCTAAGTTGATCACATTTTTAAAAAATCCACATCTTGTTGAAGATAGAAAAAGTGCTTTACGACAATCATGTTTGATGAAATGGCAGGTAATTTGTAAGCTGTTTTTTTCTCTTTCAAGTATTGATTTGCAGGGTTTTTTTTGTTTGATTGTGTTATGTACTAGTTTTCCCCGTCGCCAAATTGTTATGTACTCGTCGCTAAATTATTGTTATGGACTGGTCGAGAAACTAATAGTCCTGACGCGAGAAGGCGGAAATCAGAAGACCACTAGGTTTGCGATGATACTTCTATTGTCCAAACACAAGGAGACGAAAATAAATGGTCTCACACCAAAGTGGTAAGTAAGTGAAGTCACAAAATTGTGAATGCGAAATATATATAAATGTCCCAGACAAGCGTGGGAAAAATCATTAGACAGTCTTAACATGAATGGCTAATTATAATGGAGTGTCGATCCAATTATACATAGCGAATATAGCAGACATGCCAACAACCATATATGGATATATGTCACCAAGCAACGGACTGTCAACAAACACTCATATTATATATAATATAATATAAGGAGAATACACATTATTAAAGGAGACAAGTTCACACAAGTGAAGTGGTCACAGACTAACCGAGCAAACAGAAAGAGAGACCAACATGCACACACACACATAAATATATATATATGTGGATACATATCACCTCCCCTTTTGAGAAGATGGATGATTAGTAGGATGTTTACCTGGGGGTTTATCTGGGACCTTTGGGCTTGTTGTTGACGCCTGTCGTTTCGTCTGATTGTTGGGTTTGCGGCTTCGGCTCCGTCCGGAATTGTCTAGCATTTTATGCTTCTTGACTGCATTGCGTAGCGAATTTAGTGGGACATCAGCCAGATGCAAACGATCGAACCAATCAAGTCCCAAAAGATTTAAATCATTCTTGGTGACGTAACAAATTCCTGTGAATTTGGTATTGCGGAAGGAAACAGAACATTTGAGTTCACCAATAAGTTTGAGCCGCCCACCACAGGCGCTGACAAGAGACTGGGAAGTATTGGTGATAGGTGGTCTGCCAATATAATTCCAAAGTTTCTCTGATATAACAGTAATATCAGAGGCGGTATCTAGCTGCAGACGGGCATCATGACCATTCATCTGAAGATCAAGATATTTCCGCATACCTGGTGTTGTGACTTGACGGGTTGCGCGTAGACTCAATGATCTTTTTGGAGATTTAGGACCAACATTTTGTTGAGCTTTTGCTGGATTATGACATCTGGGTTTGCGTGGCTGACAAAAACCATTTTTATGACCGATGATTTTGCACTTGCTGCAACGATGATTTTTGTATGGGCAAGACTTTACAAAGTGCCACGCGCCACAATGCCAGCATGGTGATGGTGGGGTCTTCTTTGCAGTATTTTGTGAAGTTGGACGAGTATGTGTAGATTTCCGCGGGACATTAAGAGAAGGTGGGTCAGGAGTAGATGATGAGAGATTTTTGCTCTTTCGTAATGCACGAATATCAGAGCTTCTCGGAGGTGTTGATTCGACCAAGTGTGTGTCTTTCTGCAGATTAATCAGCCGTTGATATTCATCAGCTATGTCATGTAATGTTAACTTGGGATTTTGTTCTAGCTGATTGAGCAGTCGAGTTCGGATATCTGTGAAACGAGGAGATTGGAGACTGCATATGAGAATCAAGGCTTTGAATTGATCATCTGTTAAGGACCTGAGTCGAAATCTCTCACATTCTCGGTTGACTGTGCCAACGTGAGTAAGAAAATCATCATTTTCATTCATTGCCAGCTTGAGGCAACGATAACGTATACTGAATAATGAGGAGTGGTCTCCGAAATGTTCACGCAGCAACTTTATTGTATCATCGAAACAATTGTCACGTGGTTTCTGTGGTAAAATTAGGTTGCAGTACCGTTCATATTCTGCCGGACCCAATTTACGTAGCAAAACTCGCACCTTCCAGGCATCGTCTTGTGAGGCGAGATCAACAGTGAATAAATCCTCATAACGTTGATACCATGTGTCAAAAGTGACATTAGCCTCTGGGTCATAATTGAACTGTGAAATACTGTTCACAATTCCGTCGACAGATGGTAGCATGGTATGATTGGGATTGCTTGAAGGTGGAGCTGGACCAGTCTGTTGGTTGACGAACATTTCCATTAATTTCATTTGTCGTTCAAACAATAATTCCAATTTAATAGGATCCATAGTAAATTGTTATGTTGTTGCTGCTGTGTGGTTAATAGTAGTTTTTCCCCGTCGCCAAATTGTTATGTACTCGTCGCTAAATTATTGTTATGGACTGGTCGAGAAACTAATAGTCCTGACGCGAGAAGGCGGAAATCAGAAGACCACTAGGTTTGCGATGATACTTCTATTGTCCAAACACAAGGAGACGAAAATAAATGGTCTCACACCAAAGTGGTAAGTAAGTCAAGTAGTTGTAAAGTAAAGTAGTTCACACAAATTGTGAATGCGAATATATATAAATAATTCAGACAAGCGTGGGAAAAATCATTAGACAGTCTTAACATGAATGGCTAATTATAATGGAGTGTCGATCCAATTATACATAGCGAATATAGCAGACATGCCAACAAACATATATGGATATATGTCACCAAGCAACGGACTGTCAACAAACACTCATATTATATATAATATAATATAAGGAGAATACACATTATTAAAGGAGACAAGTTCATACAAGTGAAGTGGTCACAGACTAACCGAGCAAACAGAAAGAGAGACCAACATGCACACACACACATAAATATATATATGTGGATACATATCAGATTGGTTGGTTGGAAGATTTCACCATGAGTTGAGGTTTCTAGTAAGAAGCGGTGAGCAACAGTAGAGTACAGCAGATCGAAGGTGAGGACAGTTACTCATCGAAGAAGACATTGCGAATAGGTCACGCTATATCGTGAATAGGCAGTAGTTAGAATTCATGGGTTGTCCATCAGATCGGGTGAGTCCCAATGAGTGGTCTAATGGTCTACTAGCTAGCTAGCTAGCTCGCCTTGTAACCAGAAGGCCCTGGGTTCGAGCCCTATGTGTGGCATGGGGTGTGTGCATACTGCTGAAGCAGAGTCCGGAACTAGAGCGACTAGACAGTTGCTAGCTGTCCAGTATTCCCTGTGACTGGTTCCCAGTGGTTCTCTAACTGATGTCAACTCATGATAAAATCCTCCAACCAATTGTTTCTTTTTTGTTTGCATATTTGTATCACAAATTACTTATTGTCACTGAGATATTTTTATGAGTTACGTGTTGTGTGTTTCGGATAATTACATGGATGAAGATGTATGGAAGGCATTTTGTGAGAATTTGTTTGTGTATGTGTGTGTGCGTATATGTATGAAATTTGTCACAACAGCACATGATGATGCAATTGGTTTGCTCGTAAAGATTTATGGATGTACATTATACTTGATACTTGAAGTATGTTGCTTTGCCTGAAATTTGAGACATAATGTGAAATCAAGCTAGGCATTTTAACGACACGAATAACTTCCATGAAGTTGAAGATAATTTAAGTTTCTTATGAAGTATGCAATGTGTGTAAAAAAAGTGTAATTCATCTGACTGCAGGCATCTTATTTCATCTTTCTGTTTAACATGCATTCTGTGTTTAAACAGTCTTTATGTGGAGATATGGAACAATGAATGAAGAAAGCTTATGCGACGGACGTTGGCTGTTGTTTTTCTAATGTCTTCTACTGTTTTTTTTTTCATTTATGTATGAAGTTGTGAATTTAATTCCAGATGGATGTTACTCCCTGTTAAGACTTCATCGACTTATTTATAGAAAGATTACTGTTCGAATGCTATTTGAGTGTGGTGTCTACTTTCCGTCTCATATTATTATATTCAATTTATCATTTAGCGGAATAGTATGTTCAGGGTGTACAAGAATATTTGAAGGTGTCGGAATCAGTTATTTGAAATTTGTCATTGATTTTGGCCACATTGCAAACTTGACTGATAGAATTCAATCTAAATCAAACAAAGGGACTAGACACATTACACTAGTTACTGACTAATGCTCAATCAAAAATATCTAATACAGTCCTACAGAAGGTCAATCGCGAGGTCGAATAGCTCAGTGGCTGACAACGTCTCTGACTTCAGTACTCACTTAGTGACGCTGGTTCGAATCTCATCAGAAGAGATATGGATTCCTTCAAGGTTGCAGATACGCCTTGCTGTGACTGTCTGTTGAGTGCCAACTAGCACGAAACCTAGGTTCAAGTAGGCTTTCCTGTCGATTGCTTCCAACCATCTAATATCAACATTTCAAAGTGTGCACCATGATGGTGAGCCACTTAGTGGCATGGTGGCCACATTGCAAACTTGACTGACAGAATTCAGTCTGCACTGAAGATTAGGACTAGACATACACAATACACTAGTTACTAACGAGTGTCCAATCAAAGTATTGATTTTAGTTAGTTACATGTTTGAATCATATTCGATGGCATCATTATTTTTGATTCTATTACTGTACAAAATATTATTTTAGATTCCAGTGCAAAAACGTTTACAAATACCATGGCCAATGACAGATGGAAGTAGACTCACACTGAATCAATATTTGTTGTTAGCTGTAAGTTATTACGATTTGTGTGTGTGTGTGTGTATCATTCAGTGATAGGCATATTGACCTGTGTGTATTAGATGTTGACGGTAGTCAAATAGTAAGAAGTGGTTTAAGTTTTGTTATATGTATGCTGTACTCGTTGGTCATAGCATATGCGGCTACTTAGTGAGAATCATGTTTCCAGTCAGTTTCTAATGGATCATCCCACCGGATGACGAATTTAACCTGAAAACGATGAATTCATACGCATCAGTTAGTCCTACAGAGGGATTCACTAATGATTTGAAAGGATAACTTGTGGATTCAGTTACAGCAAAAAAAAAATTACGCATCCTTGAATATGAATTTTCTTGAGTATACGAGCTAAACAAGCAAAAGAAATAAAAAGAAAAGCAGATTATTCAGTTTATTGTGGTTTTGTTTAACGGAATGATTAACAACTCAGGATTTTTGAGTGTATCTAGTGTATGAATGGTAAGGTATGCAATTTGTAGACTTGAAATGTTGCCTTGAACAGAGGCCGACAAGATAGATTTCATTACATATTCATGATATCATTAGGAGAACTATTGAAAAATGTAAGGTGACCTCCTGCAAACCGCAAGAAGTTCGGGTTCACGAACCTGCTTGATTTTGACCCCAGTGACTGACTGTCACTGCTCTCTCTCTCTCCGAAACCAGAAAAACAACTGAACAGATTTCATGACTGTTCAATATTTGTGCATATATGAAGGTATTATATTGATGCTTTGAAGTTTCTGTATCAATTTGTTTAAGTTTTGGGGGTGGAGCTGCTAGCATGATGTTCCGACCCTCCCTCTTTATCCGGGCTTGGGACCGGCTAGAAAACTAGCGAGCTAGTAGAATCTAGGCGAGAAACACATCAACCTGAAACCAATCTAGAAATCCTCGTCACTCAGCCAGCATCAACAACAAAATTCGGTCGGATTTTCAATACAAACACGTCAAGTCAGTCAGTTCTTCTATACGGATCAGAAACTTGGTGGGCGGGTCACAAAGAATATTTCCAATAGCCTGTTGCAGACCTTTATCAATCAACAACTGTCTGTCTTCGCTGGATCTATACTGAAGATCAGATGGCCGGACCGAAAACAGTCACCAACAAGAAACTATGGCTGGGAACAAACAAACAAAACAAGAAGCAATCGCCAACCAACAAATATGCAGGAGAAAGTGGAGATGGATTGGACACTCGCGGTTGAGGAGGCCGGTTGGTGACATCGCGCGCGCGTCAGACCATTTCTCGAGTGGAACCAGGCCGAAAGGGAAGCGGCGAGTGGGACGTCAGTGCAAGAGTGACATGGAGGAGATCGTGTGAAGAGGAGTTGAAACAGTCAGCATGGACTAAGATGGATGCAGGTGAAAAGTTCAGCAGAAGGAAGACAGAAGCAAATGGAGACGTGCATGCAGTTGAAGCCGTATGTTCCACTGGGAACCCAAGGGAACAATATTAATACAATAATATGAAGGTATAGTAATCATTCACGGGTGTACGAAATCCACCCTATGGAGGTACCGTTTTTTAAGGTATAGTTAAATTTGTTATTCATCTATGCATTCATCATCGTTACCAGTGGGGTTATTTAATGTGTTATTGAATATTTGTGACCATTCCTCTCATTTAAGGAAGGACGAGTAATTTGTATAACTGTATTTGTAATTATTAATTACAAAATAACTGATTAAACTGTGTAAACGTGAAGAGCCATTTAAAGCCTGTTTTATATTCTAAAACTTGTTTTAGTTCATTTTATAAATCTGTCTGCCTACTTTATTACTTTTTATTAGAATATTCAAGGCTGTTTCATAGAATGTCAAATGCTGTGCTAACTGTTGACCAATTAATATACACTGTTCTTAAGTCTGTTCACAGATTGACTTGATTTAGAGCATCCTCAAAGACCAGATATTACTCAACAGCTGTTTCGTCCTACTGTGTGATTCTTTAGCAATACACACCCATTACTTCACTGAGTGTCGAGCCTAGAACTATCAGGTTACGAGGTGAGTCCGTTTACTATTCAGCCCCTTGCCTGAAAATTCTGCCTTCTACAGATTCCCCAAACAATATCATCGTAAAGTGTTTAGAATTCATGATCCATTGGATCACGTCCCAATGACTGAATATTCTGCAGACTCTCCTCGTAACCTGAAAGCTCTGGGTTTGGTCCTCGGCGGCGAAGGGGGGTGGATTATGTACTGATGAAGAGGCCCAAAGCTAGGAAGAAACGATTGTCCAGTACTCTACGGTTTTCAATGGCTCTCTAACTGATGTCACACCAATCAAATCCCTACAAGTTAGCTTTTGAGTCCGGACATTCTAGGCATTAGGTTAGTAGATAAATAGAAAACTGAGAATTTCTAAGCAAAGCTATTCAGTATTCTGGTTTTTATCCTCAGAGTAGAATGAGACTTATTTTGAAATGCATTATTTCATTTAGAGTTGGTTTATTGAGAAAGAGTATTTAGTTTCTTTATATACATAATCTGTATTCTGTGCGCGTGTGTGAGTGTGTATGTGGTCGTTGGTTGATTAAACAACTAAAACGTAAGATGTTCTTTTCTTTATTCCTTTACCTCTCCACTGGAACATAGGGCTTCAAGCTAGAGCTTTGAAATTTCGTTGGTAGTGGGATTTACTTTTATAGGATGGGGTTGCTAGCCTCATGTCCAACCTTCCGTCTTTACCAGTCTTATTACTGGCTTAATGAGATAAAGGAGTAAGTTGGCCGGGGATCGAATCCTGGACCACCTGAGCGGTTGGCAAGTGTTCTACCTCTGTGCCACCAACGCTAAGGATGTTCAGCTACTTTTAATTAACGTTAGTGAATGATAACTAGAGATTTTGAGGATAGCTTGAATACTAGTGACACTTTGAGAAACTATCCTCGTATTGCAAGCCTAACACTTTATCATTTCAGGTAAGAGAGGCATATACTAAGTGAGTCTACACTTCACCGCAGTAACCAAAACGTTGTCTGGTTGTCATGTGAATAATTAGCAGGTAACTGTTTGTTTAGCCGTTTCATTTTTTAGTTTGTTGGTTTGGATATTGTTTTTTTTTATTTCTTCTCCAGTCATCGTTTATCGCATAAGATGATCAGTTTGCCAACAGATCGAGTGCCTCAGATAGTCCAACTAACAATTTTCTTTCTATCATAAATGTTTAGTATGAGAAATTGTTCTGTGTTAGTTTACTATACTGAGGTGAGGTGCAATGGTAGGGTGGTTTTAATCACAGTACAGGAATTATGCATGAATCATTCAGGAACAGTGTAAGCATATTCTCTATATTATTCATTAATTTATGCACATGTATTCCTTACAGGACAGTAGAATACCTTTACCTCGTGAATATTGTCCTCATACAAGACTCACTTCAATAAATAAGAAAGATATAAATGATCAGAAGGATTGGAATGGACATCATATTGGATTGGTTTGTGGTAAACCACCCTCACTTCCTTATTCAAAGCTGCTCAACCGATGTTGATTTATTCACGTGGTAGCAGAAATGAAGTGAGTTGTTTATAACGAACTGTTGCTATTGTTGTTGTTATTTTATTGCTCAAAGATGGTAAACTTCCAGCGTTAGTTATGGGAATTATTCCAAACGAATTAAGTATTTGACTATTTGTGACCGTTATAAGTGAAAGAAGAATGGTATTTTCATATTCACTTTATCCACAACCATGAACTTTTAGTCGAACGTTATCACTGAAATCCTAATGCAAAAGTACACTCTGCTTAACGTGTTTCACAAAAGTAGACTAATATTTGAAAGTCTGAGATCAAATTTTGATCACAGCTCATACAATTTTATTCATTATATTTTGATGCCGGTTTAATGACTCATATGACTGGACAACGTTTTTAAAAACAAGAGATGCCCCTTTTCATATATATAAAGCTTTGTCATTTTAATTTCGATTGATTTCCCTGAAGTTCAGGCCAGTTTTGTCGAACGAAACGTTGGAATTACTCATTTCAATTTCTCTGAGAATTTATATATATGTTTTAGAATTTATTAGTTTAATTTCCCGAGGTATGTAATATTTATATGTGATGTACTTTTTTCAAGTGAAATGGAATTTTTCTCAGTGGCACCGATCCCTTTGTCTTGTTTTCATTTTGGTGTAATCTAAGGGGGTGCGGGATAGATTGACCAGTAATGAGTCTCTGGTCTTCAGTCGAGTTACCTGTTACTTCTCAGTATTAAACTGACAAGTAAGCAATTTTATCAAGTCATCAGTAGCCGTAAGACTTTACAACTGTTGGTTGAGGGTTGTGTGGTCCACTGTACACACAGACATACATCACTAGGTGAAAATGGTTACCATAGCAATATTAATAAAGAAGATACTACAATAATTCTAAAAATATTCATCCTTTCATAGACTCCTATTCTTCTTAATATTATTACTCCTTTACTTCAGGATAAATTGTGCACAACAGATGGAGATACTTGGGAAACATTAAATGAAGTGATACCAGACTTACAACCTCGACTTCCAGCAGGTACTTTGATTTGGGGACGAGCAACTAACGAATACTGTTCAAAGGTATGTTTTTTTTCTGTGAATAACTCTTTGGGATGACAGTTGATTTACTGTGAAGTCTTCAATATTCATTAAATTCTGCAAGGTAGTATTAGTTGTTACGATCCAGATATTACCAGAACATTTGTGTATATATATGTGTGTGGGAGTGTTGAGGGGGGGATACCCTGTTATTTGAAGGGATTCAAGGCGTCATATAACTGTAAAATACAGTCATCATCTGGAAAAGAAGATATAATCAGAATCCATACGACAATATTATTCAGGTGACACAGAGCACAAGTTGATGAATACACCTTTGGTCGACGAGTGACAATTTTTGGAACAATCACGAGAAATAACCAAGACGATTGAATGTTAAAAAGACTAGGAGGTGACCGTCTACTACTCTGATTAACAGCAAGAATTGTATGCTTGAATATAGTGATTTTCTGAAATGGATTCACAGAATTTTGCATTGATTCATTCAATGACTGATTAAGGTGTGTGTGCGTGGGGGTGGGTTGAATCATATGTTGCATATATACGCTCCCGTTAATAGATGAATACACCAGAGTATCAGAGTAGACTAAATAATGAGGAATTTCCGTGGTATAGTGAAGTCAACACTTAATAATCAAAACTTATTGAAAACAGTTGCGACATTTACTTTCTTTTTGGCCGAGTTAAACTTTCGACACCACTAACTACCGATCAGCGAACGATGTCGAATTATCCAGTGAGATTCACGAACTTAGTTCAATGTTGTATAGCTCTTGATTCATTTCTAATGCGTGCCCTTACAAGTTTACGGTTGCAATTCTAGGAGGACAGTGTTTTCCAGTATTGCCTGGAATTAGGGTTGCTCCGGAAGGAGCGAACTTGTTCGTGTGGTGGTATCATGATTTTAAAAGCTATAGCAGATCAACTGATGGATTTGTTCATCGTTGTGTTACATGTTTGAAGCGTTGTTAGCATTAGAGAGGGTAAGCTGATAATTTGAATATTTCGTAGGAACTTTTTTCGCTAGGTCGCATCTCTCCTTAACCCAGATTTTGTATATCCGCAACTACTGGGTGTTGAAACAGCCGGTGAGAGCAGCAGCTGCCGAGAAGGAGAACAGCCTCGTCCCAACAGTTCAGTGGTACCGGCATCGCAGAGATATTGCTTCGTGGGAAATAGAGAAAGGGGTTCGTCGAACGGATAGCTGATAGAAAATCAACCACTTTAATACCTATTATAACGAGACTTGTTAAACAGTGGTCAACTATACACACGGACGAGTGGAAAGGTTATAATTCGCTGTCATTTCTGAGGTATATTCATCACAGAGTGAACCATTCAATTGATTTCGTGGATTCCGTTACGAGGACTCATACGAATTCCATTTGAACGGTTTTGGGGCCGCTTAAAAAACAGGATAAGGGCTATAAACGGATCTCATTTATAGTCATTTAGATGAATATATGTACAGGATGTGGTGTGATTTCTCCATTGACACTCCCATGCTTAACTGGTAGATGTTTCTCTCACATGTTCGAGAAAGATACCCATTGTAACCGTTTTATCCTTTTTATGCTTTTTTTTCTTTAAAATATACCTTTCCATTTATCATAAATGCCTCTTTAGTGTGATTGGTCCTTTCAAGGTCGTTTGCTGATTGGTTGTTAGTGCTGTCGAAAGTTTAACTTTGCTCACGTGATGTACTTTGAATTGATTTTAAGTGGTGTTGGGATTATCGGGGGAAAAACCGCAAATCATCTAGGTGCTACAATAGTGGGAGCACGTTGTGATGCTAGTTTGAAATTGAAAGAAGACATTAGTAGATACGGCCTTGTTTATCAGTGCCAACATCTACGAAACTCTCCAGGCATTTTAGTCTGTCCACTGTATGTATGTTAACTTCCATTGAACAACTGTTTGTTAATTGTGTTTGATTCGTTTATTTTAATCTTTTCAGACTGGATTACGAAAACATGCATTGTTTGTTTACGATGTTTTGTGCATATATGGTCGTGATTGCCGTCAACTTGGTTATAAAGAGCGGTGAGTAAAGGTTTTGAGAACGTCTACTTCTTTGAGTCATCGATCCATTTCTTTAGCTTGTTTTTTCGTTTTCTCTTCAACTTTGTAAAATGGTATCAGTTCATAGTGTGTCGATGTAAGTCGATACTCACATAAGGCGTTTCTTAGTTGTATCTAGTGTATAACAGATTGATGATACAATCTAACATTAAACGTATAAACACAGTTGTATTAATTTTAAAGTGTTGGTTTGGTAGGATTTTGTTTGATTAATTGGAGGATTTGATCATGAGAGGACATCAGTTAGAGAACCAATGGAAAACCACATGGAGGAGCTCAATAGCTGTCTCATCTTGGTTTGGGACACTTCGTCAGTACACACCCACCTCACCGGCAGGGTTCGAACTCACAACTTTCCGGTTGCAAGGTAGGCTAGCTCGTAGACCACTAGCCACTCACTGGGACCCACCCAATTCAACGGCCAACCTATAAATTATAACTTCTGCCCTATAAAACCAATACTTGAAAATTGATCTGATCCTCACTAACGACTGGCCCTATTCAGGCAGTTAACCTCGGGTTCTAGTGTGAAGCCATGACCAGTAGGGTGCAACAGGTCAAAGGGGTGGACAGTTACTCATTGAAGAAGACATTGCAAAGTGGTCGCGCCATATCGTGAGTAGGCAGAAGTTAGAATTCATGGTCTGGCCATTGGATTGAGTGAGTCCTAGTGAGTGATTGATTGGTCCACAACCAAGCTCACCTTGTAACCAGAAAGTTGTGAGTTCGAACCCTGAGTGTGGGGTGGGGTTGGTGTGTACTGGTGAAGCAGAGTCGAAACTAGGGTGACGAAACAGCTGTTAAGCTCTTCCAGATGGTTTTCAAATGGTTCGATAACCGATGTCAGCTGATGATGAAATCCTCCAACATTTGTGTTAGATACAGATAGATTTCCATCTGTTATATTGGTTAAATTTATTTATCAATTGAATGTTAGTGAGTCAAATCTCCGTGGTTTTGACAAAACTTGATTACCTGAATGATGTCATCGTTAAGCGACCGAGAGTGTTGGTATTTGAGAGTTCATTTTGTGAATACTCTTTGGTTTACTTGTTTGTCAAACTGATTATCTAATTCAATTTGAATTTTCATATTGTTCATATTATTGTAGAATGAAAGCTGTCGAACGAATGGTGAGTGTAGTTAATTTTCCTGATATGAAATCATCGAATATTCGTGTTCCACCGTTTGTCCATTTATCACAACTTGATGATTATATAAATGGGTGAGTAACATTCTTTGTTGACTATATTATTTTTTTCAAGATGACAATAGTTATTCCAGGTTCATGGGTTTAAGGCATTACATAGTATTTATTTTTATGAGCCTGTGCTTGTAAATAATACTGGTAAATGTTGATGAGAGAGTTTTAAGAACATAGGAATGTGTTTATTATTATCATTCCCTTGGGTTACGACTGGAACGAAGGCTTTCAGCAGTGCATCTGCATTTCACACTTTTCAGTGATTGTTTTATATGGCTTCACGGTTGTCCATGAGATTTCATTTCCTCAATATCACACTTGGGCCAGTGCCCGCCTGTTAATTTCCCAATTCAGGTTCCACTCAGTGATGTCTCTCAACAGTCTCCTCACTGTAATCCTATCGATCTCCATTTCCTTCTGGATTCTTGTTGGATTATGGATTCTTGATTGGTTTGTTGCTAGGGCTTCTTGATGCTTATCTCATCGTCAGTATTAAGAGAACGAAAGAAACTTAGTTTACAACAAGCTCTTAGAAATGCTTTCGACGACACGTACATGAAATCTCTGGATTATATAGAAGCATTGACTTGACGTTAGTGTTGAAAAGTTGGATCTTGTTCCGTATACTGAGTGCAGTAAAAATTTCCACACTGATTTCACAGTAATGAAGGTCAGTCTGGCTTGGTTTTCCAGTCTCGGTTGGCCGCCTATGGTTGAGACGATGCCGCCCAAATAAGTGAAAGGAGTGACTGCCATCGATAGTGGTTAGTGCTTATTGTTGTTTGTGATTGGTCATCTTCATCACCTCCATCTTCTCTTTGTTCACTTGAAGTCCTGTCTTTAGTGCTTCTTGTTCTTCCAGCTTGTTGATTTTAACCTGTGGATCTTTGAGTTTGTGTAACATTAAGCAAAAATCATCCTCGAATCCCAGATCTATCAGAGTCTTCTTGTCGACGCAAAGCATTTCTATGTTTTCGCTCCTCAGGGTCTACCACGTTACTCAGTTCATAAATCGTCACAAAGTTTATATCTTCTAAAGTCTTTCTATCAGTCTTACGTATACTTCTTGCTCACCACAGTTATTTAAAGGGCAACATTTTTTTCATAACACTCTGTGATTTAAGTTATAGCTGACTGTCATTCACAAATGGAGGATAGAAATTAGGTTTCTTTTTTTCGTTTAAAATGATTTTAGTATGATTGTATTTTTTGTTGGACAGAAAATTGAAAATGTGTGTGCTACTAATAAGATTTACCAGTAGTATATAAAGAGATATTCATCGGAATAAAAACATCAAATAACATGGAGATAAATTTGACATCAGAGAAAGCAAATGATTCAGCATTACGGTGATACATGGTAGACATGAAAGAAACGCAAAGAAACACAACATGAAGGAAGGCGATAAGTATCGCAGCATGGAAGATCTGTGCACATGGTGCGTTGAAGATAAGGTGTACATAATTTCATCACATATATAGGCACCAAATTCTAAATAAACATCCCTTTATACGAGTTTGACCATGGGTTGATATCAGTTAGAGAACCATTGAGAAACAGAGAGTACTGGGCGTCTGTTTCATCCTAGTTTAGGAATCATCGGCGGTACGCGCCCACTGGTGATGGAACCTAGGACTTTCCGGTTACAAGGCAAGCTCGTATACCATTCAGCCACTGGGAACCGATTCAATGATCCGTCCATAAATTCTAACTTCTACCAATTCGTGACAGAGTTTCCTGGAGTTCTAGCGAGAAGTCGTGACCAGTGAAGTCCATCTAGTCAAGTGCGAGGATGGAGTTCCCACCGATGACATTGGTTGGTGGTCGCGCTAAATCACAAATTGGTGGAAGTTAGAATTCATGGAGTGGTTATTGAATTGGGTCCCAGTGGATGCCTATTGCTGATGGTTTCCAAACTTGGCTGACGAGACAGCTGTCCAATACTTTTTGTGGCTGGTTTTCAATGGTTCTCTAACTGATATCAATCCGTGGTCAAACTTGTATAAACAAATCTAATCCTTACAAACCAAACGCTTAAAAACATTCCTTTATCAAGCCTCTTGTCTTCTGCCGTTACAACAAGACTTCCAATTTCGTATATTCAAAATAATTTAATAGATATTCACAAAAAGCGCCATCGCGTATTGACAGGGCTTATTACTTTCTGTTGTTTATGATATGATTATATGATACCGTTTCATTTACCTCGTTTCTCTCAACTGTACTAAATTTACAAAGGGTTTGTATGTTTCGAATACTTTCAGACTTCTCCTTTTTCCATTGGAACACCCTCAGAAATATGTGCGAATGCATTGTTTCTCTGATGGTTTCATGTTCCAGCCTCATTGTTTGTTGTTAGTCAAACACTTAAAAGGTAAGTTAGAGGCAAATAAATAAATAAATAAATTGGCATTGATCATTTTGATGTTTTTATTTCATTGATGTAGATTATTTGTCAAGTATTTCTCTATCCATTGCGTCTCCTGTCCTCGTTATCTCATATCCAAGTATTTTAGATGATTTTCAAGTCTTGGTTTCCAAGAGATTGATTAGTTACTGGTTTAACCACGAGCTAACACCACTTAGAAAACCATTGGAAAATCAGACGGTACTAGATACTTATTTCGTCTCAGTTTGGGATTCTGCCCCAGAAGTAGTCACCCACTTGAGATAAAATCCCCAGGACTTCCCGATCACAAGGCGAGCTTATAGACCATTCAACGACTTGATCCCAATCCGGTGGCTCATGAGTTCCAACTTCTGATGCTCATCGACGTCTTACTTTATGCAGGAAGTTGCCTAAGGTCTCGGTGAGTAGTCATGACCAGGTGGGTCTATCAAGCCAAAAGTTAACTCGCCAATGACATCAACTGGCAGTTGCGCTAAATATATATATCGCGAATTGGCGGGATTTGGAATTTATGAGCCATAATTGGGTCTGAATGACTGAACGGGTCTACAAACTTGCCTTGTGAACGGAACGTCATGGATTTCGTGCATATTACTCTAAGATTCCCAAGCTAGAATGAAACAACCGTCCAGTACTCTCTGCTTTACCAATAGTTCTATAAATGGTTTCAGGTTATGTAGAAATATGAATCAGTTTTATATGAATGTATGGTAGTGGTATGTGGTTGTGAGCAAATGGTATTCAGTTTACCATTTTATTAGATAACTCGCCATTCAAGGTTACTTTCCGATGAAGGTAATGTTGATATTTTTCACCTTCCACATTTCCCCCCAAATGAACACAATAAGAAATAATGTGTAACTCCATTATGGATAAGACTTTATTTTGATAAATCACACAGTGTTATACAGTAGTAGCAGTAGTAGTATTAATATAACTGTATAACACTGTATGATTTATCAAAATAAAGTCTTATCCATAATGGAGTTATACTCTACCACAGTGCCCAAGTTTTACAGTTACATTTATGTGTACATGGAGTACTGCCTTTTGACATAAAAGGTCCCAGTGTATTGAGAGAACAGAAGAGCAATGATTGATTCAAATTAAAATGAATTCATGTTGTTTCGTCTATGAAGCATGGCATTCTAGTAATAACAAATTACACTATGTGTACACCTCAATTCAATCCGCGTAGTCCAACAGAAGAAGTGAAGGTATTCGAACTCAGGATGATGAGTAGATAGGTGTTTCTTCTTATTTACAAATGAACTCGTTATATTCAAAACTATTCATATTTGAAACTGTAGGTAGGAATAGTAATGCTAAAGTCACTAAGTTTGGCACTGGAGTCTTAAACCACATACATTATGTATACATCTCAAACACAATTAAGTTACAAAGTGCGAATGAAAAATCGCTTAATTTGAATGACACACGAAACATAAAATGATCATTACTCTAAGAGAGGAAACCGTATTTTTAGCCAATGAACTTCAAAGGATGGTGTATGTATATCGTCATAACATTTCACTTTAGCAGTGAGTAGTAGTGCATGCCTACTGATAACTTCACAGATTGTAATGGTACAGTTCACAGGACATCCGTGTCACCCAAAAAGTGGTTAAAATCAACATCCATCGATAACTTATAATGAACATTTCAAACAATACAGTTATATACTTTTTATCACATTTGATGATCATTTGTCACATAAGTAACTGTTTGCATGATGTTTCAATTTGAAATAAGAATATGCGTGGTGAGAGCTGTCTGCTAGCCAAAATTGATAGACAACAATTTACGTCAATGTTAAGAAAACACGATAAGCTTGGAATGGCAGTCACCTCTCCACCTCACTCAACTTCATCGACTTTGAAAAGGCCTTCGACAGCGTCGATCGAGAGGTGATTTGGAAACTACTTCGCTACTACGGGTCCCACCGACAATTATACATCTCATCCAACAGTTATACGACAATGCTGCGTGCCAAGTAATCCACAACGGGAAACTTACGGAAGCCTTCGAAGTAAGGACGGGAGTGAGACAAGGCTGTCTACTATCACCAATGATTTTCCTGATTGCAGTAGATTGGATAATGCGACAGACAACGGGTCGGGCAATGAGGAAACAGGCATAAAATGGACTCACACAAAAATCTTGGAGGATCTGGACTTCCCGATGATGTATGTCTGATTTCCCACAAACTAGAAGATATGCAAGTGAAAAGCAACAAGCTGGCAGAATAGGCATCCAGAGAAGATACGACTTCATGTGAACATTGAGAAAACAGAGGTGATGAAGATTCCTGACCAACACCAACAACAACAGAAACAGACAACAATCAGCCAGAATAAATGGGAGGAACTAAAGAAGAAACCTTCACTACCTACCTACCTACCTGGGAAGCATCGTTTCAACTACACGCCATCGGAACTGACGAGGATATCAAAGCCAGAATCGGAAAAGCAAAACAAGCTTTCATTACTCTCAAGTCTGTGTGGAGGTCAACATCACTCACCATCAAAAATAAGATCCAGATTTTCAACTCCAATGTGAAGTCGGTGCTACTTACGATACGGATCAGAGACTTGGTGCGTCATAGAGAGCATCTCAAACAAACTACAGACCTTCATTAACAGTTGTATTCGCTCAAGATCAGATGGCCGGCCAGAAAAGATCAGCAACAGGGATCTCTGGCGATGAGCAAACCAACCAGGAGTCGATTGTGAAACAAATAAGCAGGAAGAAATGGAGATGGACTGGCCATCAAATGACATCACTAGACAAGCCATCGCTCGAATGGAACCGGAAAGGGAAACGGCGAGTTGGTTGTCAGTGCAAGGGTGACTTAGAGGAGGCCATGTGAAGAGGAGATGAAAGCATGTGGGTAAACTTGGAGCGGAGTGAAAAAGTTAGCAGAAAACCGGAGGCAACGGAGACGCGGGACTGAAGGCCTATGTTCCTCTAAGAATTAAAGGATATAATAATAATACGTCAATGTTTACGTCCCAAATCTTGGTCATGGGAAAAAACAAGAACAAAGCCTAACCTTGAGGAACTCAACAACCAATCACAGCACACTTAGAGTGGGCGGATACGATTCGCAAATAAATCATCGGACTGTCTAAGAAACGGCAACAAACAGATGACAGAATAACCTTTAGCAGGAAAACAATCAATCAGAAGACCTTACCTCTCTGGTAACAATAACGAATAATAATGTTCATGAAAATCTATAAATATCTGTTGATTTTCTGAATAAAGGATCTGTTGACTGGCCCTTGTCTTCTGTCGTTACATATTAACTACCGGAGGATAAATGGTATTTCGCATCATATGGTGGTGGGAAATGTTTTCTGCCCCGCCCCCCCCCCCCCATGGAGTCCACTCTCTTTCATGTAGTCTCATCAATAAAGCATGTTTTTGACAGATAAATCAGGTTAATGGAAACAGCTAAATATTTTTACGACCTAAGACGTTATGAACACTTGAGTCAGACGATGAAAATTGAATTCTCTATGTTAACGTAAAAAGTGTTCATAGATGACTAAGTATTATTTTTTTTTAAGTTATATTTTCATTTGATATTTGGACAATAATGTGAGCATACTTCTTGTTAATAGGGGAATTGAGCAAGTCAGTAAATCGACGTACTGGGGAATTAATGGATTTAAGTAAGAACGCCATAAAATCTGCTTCTGATTTACCTGAAAGTGGAGAACATTTATTCAAGTGAGTTTTACTATTTCTACATGATTATCTGCCTATTTCACTTTGTTCGGTATTTGTGACAAGTCACCAAAGTCATCTCATTGCCTACCTTACTTGAAGGATTTTGAGCTCATTTATTGTTTGTTAGCCTCCATTGAAAACTCCACATACTTATTCCCTTTTATGAATCTGAATAAAGCAAGAACAGCGGTTTGTGTTAAAAAAACGATGGTGCCATCGTTTTACTGGTCATCGGCTTCTCAACTGGCATTATGTAACATTTACAGGTAGTTAAAATCTTTCTGTATGTAAACTTAATAATTTATTTTATTTTTTTTATTGCAGCTTGATTCTACACTATATTTTTGGTACAAGTATGGGATTTTCAGCATGGATATCGGTAGCCCAAATTTTTGCAGGCCGACCGTAGATATCAGGTGTGCCATCGGTAGGGGATCGAACCTCGGATCATGTGCATGGTCAGGGAGAGTCCTAACCACTGTGCCACCGACGCACAGGTTTTAGGCAGCTGATGGGAAGCTGACGAAATAAACAATGCTACTATCTGATTCTGCACAGTCTGTATGTCCTGTTTTATTTCAATAACGTTAAAGACTGATTTCTGGGGTCACCTACCCTGACAGAGATTCGTCTTCAGGAAACATTTTACTAGTTTCTAAGCCTCGCCTACACTGGTTTGGTGGCCAAGTTACTCCTGACACTCTCTTCCAACAATGTAGGCATATTATGCTCATGCTTGTTGAAGGTATATTCTAACCAATGGAATTAAGAACAATCTTAAAACACTAAAATCATTCCAATACATTCATTAGATTTTAAACAGTACAGACAAAAACATTCACCAATGAAATATGAAGTGTATTATAGTTGACTGGTGTCATAAATCGATTCAGCTATCTATGCTAAGTACTTACTTCCGTATATGTATGGATATCCTACTGAAGAAGTGTGAACTTGCACAATGTTGTGACACAGCAACCATTTGGATTCCTGGATAGTTAACCTAAGGAAATTCAGATAAAACTCAGAGATATCAAACAGAGCGAAACATGTAATTCTCCAAGTTATCGTCTCCATAAATCTGTTTCAAATAATGTGATCCCTTGTGATATAGACTGAATATTTTGCAAAATGATTAGCTTTAATATTCAGCAACAGCAAAAGGAAATTTGATGAAATATAAAAAATAAGTAGAACAAAGTTCACGGAAGAGTCTCTTTACAGAGGCGAATTCATTCACTTAGCTGTACAATCGCATTTATATATAATTATTTTGTGTGTATGTACATTAGGATTGTCAAACAAAAATTAGTTAGGTTACAGTTTGCGTCATCAAAATGTTTCTAAAATGTGATGAATAGTCAAAATTGTAATTCCGGTTAGGGAGGCGGAGGGGGGGTGTGAAGATTAGTAAGTATTGACAAGGGTTGCGTAATATGAAATAAGATGTTAGTGGAGACACGTGTCCGAAAAGAAGATGTTACTAAGATGCCATACAAAAATTCAAAAAACAAAAAAGGAAACAAAACATTACTAACAAAGTCGTCGAACTTGGAATTATACCCAAGGTGGAAGGAGGGGATGGAAAAGTTTCTTCTGTGTGCATAAATCAGATTTTTCAATCCGGATCTCTAAGGCCATCTCGGCAATGCAAAGTACACAGAAGGTTACCTACCGTTTTCGGGAGGCTTATTTTGATTATGGATAAGATATGATTATGAGCAATAATTTGTGCTCGAAACGTCATCAGTTAATATTACTGTACAACACTGTGTGATTTATCAAAATAAAATCTTATCCATAATGGAGTTATACTCTACCACAGTGCTCAAGTTTTATATTATATCAATAAGGCTTATTTTGACTTTGAAGATGACTTCGAATGAATTCTCCTTGCATATTTGAGTGACCAATGTTGACTATATGTTCAATTATAATCACTCCTTATTGATCCGGTAGTACATTTTCGTAGCCAAGTGGGATAATGTTCTTTGAAACTTTTGGATAAAACACGCATTGAACGACCTATATATCTCACTTACTCGACATGAGCAAGTAAATTGGGAGATACATATAGAAGTGGTCCAATCGATGGTTTATCTTTCTAGCTGTTGAAGAACAATGGGCGACTTGAGAATACCAATCATAATGTAGCACAGCAGGTAATGTTCATTTCAGGCGTATCTGCCAATTCACTTGCTCATGTCGAGTAAGTGAGATATATAGGTCGTTCAATGAGTGTTTTATCCAAAAGTTTCAAAAACATTATCCCACTTGGCTACGAAAATGTACTACCGGATCAATAAGGAGTGATTATAATTGAACATATAGTCAACATTGGTCACTCAAATATGCAAGGAGAATTCATTCGAAGTCATCTTCAAAGTCAAAATAAGCCTTATTGATATAATTATAAAACTTGAGCACTGTGGTAGAGTATAACTCCATTATGGATAAGATTTTATTTTGATAAATCACACAGTGTTGTACAGTAATATTAACTGATGACGTTTCGAGCACAAATTATTGCTCATAATCATATCTTATCCATAATCAAAATAAGCCTCCCGAAAACGGTAGGTAACCTTCTGTGTACTTTGCATTGCCGAGATGGCCTTAGAGATCCGGATTGAAAAATCTGATTTATGCACACAGAAGAAACTTTTCCATCCCCTCCTTCCACCTTGGGTATAATTCCAAGTTCGACGACTTTGTTAGTAATGTTTTGTTTCCTTTTTTGTTTTTTGAATTTTTGTGTGGCATCTTAGTAACATCTTCTTTTCGGACACGTGTCTCCACTAACATCTTATTTCATATTACGCAACCCTTGTCAATACTTACTAATCTTCACCCCCCCCTCCGCCTCCCTAACCGGAATTACAATTTTGACTATTCATCACATTTTAGAAACATTTTGATGACGCAAACTGTAACCTAACTAATTTTTGTTTGACAATCCTAATGTACATACACACAAAATAATTATATATAAATGCGATTGTACAGCTAAGTGAATGAATTCGCCTCCGTAAAGAGATTCTTCGGTGAACTTTGTTCCTCTTATATTCATGCCTGGATGGATATTTTCTGTGAAATATGGAGACATGAAGCGTAAATCAAGCTGTCAAGGAATACAGAGAGAAGGCTGCACTTACTTTGTAAATGGCTGGGATACACTTCACACTGAATGGAAAAACACAATTGTTCTCTAACTCACTATACTTCAATCCTCACAAAGCATTACACATCAGTCATTGTTAATTTGAACAATCAGGCTAAATACTAAACTTGATGGAATTATCTATCATTCTGCTTAGAAATTCTGTTGTGTATATTCACGAATGTATTACATTTATTTTCAGGGATACACGTTACATGGAAGTACCTTGGGGAGAAGAAGAAGAAGCAGCAGCGGAGAATTGTACAGACGTTATCAGTTTGGTAGAACATCTTAAAAAGTTGAATATTCTCAAGCTATAATTATACATTCTTCGCAAACTTCATGAACTTTCTTATCAAATAAAGTAGATGGATTTCTACACTTTAGACATGTTTTTTTTTGTATTTTACATGTTACATTAACTGAGAGTACATCGAGGAAGACATTCATTCACTTTATTTGATGATTTCGAAAACGAATCTTCGTTTCGTTGTTTGCTTGAGCTGTTTCGAAATGCTTCTATTTTTTTTTATTTTTGATTACAGCTTTATTCCACACCGTATTTTTGGTACAAGTATGGAATTTTCAGCGTGGATATCGGTAGCCCAAATTTCGCAGGCCGACCATAGATATCAGGTGTGCGTCGGCGAGGGCTTGAACCCCGGACCATAAGCATGGTCGTCGAGAGTCCTAACCACTGTGCCACCGACGCTCAAAAATTTGGATTTCTCTCCTGACCGGCATTTATCAAACAGAATTATGTTGAGCTGAAGACATCGTCGATGATTATGTACTAGGGATAGACATGTTAAGAGACCGAGGATTTGGATTCAGATTCAGTTGGATCATTGACTTCATTGAGTCTTATTCATCCTTGAGGCGTTCAAAAGACTCTTGGGATAATTAAGTCTTCATAATAATCAGTTTTGTAACTATCACTTTCAACCGAATCACCTTGTTTTATCGTGAACGAAAAGTTGCAGAATGTATGAGTAGTTGTACAGCCTTCACAGAAGATGAGGATCTCATGAATGGATATATTTGAGTGTTCAAACAATACCATTTTACTGACAGACACATGGTGAAAAGCAGTCAGCTGATCATTTGTTTCCCTTAGCAATGTAGGGTACATTTGGTCAGATTCAAATTGGGAGTATAAGCAGTGAGATTAATTAAAGCTGAGGTAATTTTTATAACTTCTCATAACAGGTGACTGAAATTCTGAACAGAGAGCACTGTTAGAAGCAGTTCAACTAACGTAGCACTGCACTAAGATTGTCTGTTTTTTAGTCCCAGTCTTAAATAGGATGCAAATATCAGCACTTTAACTCTTATGTAGATGACAATAGGAGTCTGTGAGTGTAAACAAAGAGAAACAACAGGACTTAGTGGTTTGTTTCCAGAGGTCTTTGAGGATCGTGATAATACATAATTGACATAACTAGCTATGATACTTCATAAAGTATAAGAATGCAAAATAGATCACCTAGTGAATATCAATTTACAGAAAGGTCAGGAAAAATTCTTAGTCAGTGAGTATTTACTATCGTTAAATACTACCACTACTACTACTACTACTACTGCGGTGCCAGCTAGATGACACACATTGAAAAAGGTGTTGTGTTCTCAGAACAGAACTGAACAAGACTAAAAAAACAAGTAACTGAAGAAACACTGATTGACTGTATACTGAGTTTATCAAAGCTACAACTGTTTAGATTATGCGTCGATGGTTCAGTTGTAGAAGAAGGCTCGCCAACTGTGGAAGTTTACCGGAATTCGGTCTCCAACCGATGCACTCCTAAGCCTCGCTAAGTATATGTAGTAAACCCAGCAAAAACAGGAGGTTGGGAGTGAAGCTAGCGACCCCGCCCTGCAAAACGAATCTCCCCCCCCCACTACTGAGACTTCAGAGCTCAAACTTGAAGCCATATTGAAAACATTTATTTCCCGATACGAATTTAAAACAAGCAATAAAGGTTAATAAAGCAGGATTTAATGAATTCATCAAATTTCGGTAGAACTCGTCAGCTGAATACTCTACATACACGAATATATATACTTTTGAAATTACATTGGGAGATATAAGACTGATAAGTTGAATACTCTACATACACGAATATATATACTTTTGAAATTACATAGGGAGATATAAGACTGATAAGTAAACAAACTACATTGAATTAATCATGCAGAGAGACAGGTGCGAATATTTTCTAGGTCATGTTCAAATAGATAAGGGGAGAGAGAGAGTATGAGAGATCAAAATTAAGATAAATTGCATTACGCTTCAATTACATCACTTAGATAAACAATTAGTCATTAGGGAATATAACGAGAATTGCAAACAGACTAATATCAATAGTAATAGTTTTAATAACAATAATAATAATAGTGTTGAAGTGAGTTAAGATAATCTTACGGATAAAGCATAGATTTAAATGAATCAAGAATAATAATAATAATGGTAGTAATAATAACAAAAATAATAATAAGAAGAGGTAGAATAATAGTAATAACAAGTAGAGAATAATAAGTAAAGCGTATTACCATGGTAGATTCAGAGTGACGACCATCTCCTTTTGTATACAGAGGGCTGGTTTGTAAATTCGAATTGCACAAGCCTCTGCAATTGCAAGCATCTTCTTGTTTCTTTGTTTGCTGACGATGGTGAATGACTTGACGGCGTCGATATCATGTCCGTAATCCACGAGATGTTTTGTTATTGAGGATTTTGGGACTTTGCACTCAGCTGTTTTCAACCATTTTGGCAAATGCTCCATCATGCGAGTAGACAATCGCCTTTCCGTACGACCTATGTATTTGCTGCCACAAACACACTCAAATTGATATATGCAGTTTGAAGTGTCGAGGATTGGCGACTGGTCTTTCCCAGATTGTTGAAGCACTCGCTTGGTGGTGTTAAGGATAACAAGTTTTGCAGCATAATAAGTTCTCTTGATGGCTTTGTCAAGTCTTCGTTTCACTATTTCCTGTACGTCATCTCCTTTGAATGGCAAATTGATATAGACAGGTTTCTTTGGAACTGTCTGAATTGTTTTGCAAGGGGTAGTTTCTTTAGAGTATTTA